AATAAACAACGATGTCTCAGGGAAGAGCCGTGAGCGACCACAGACCTCCCACTGCTGCTACTTCTCCTCTCTGTACACCTGTGGCAAGCTCCACAGGTCGCCATGACAACCCCAGCAGGCTAGACTGGGAATGGTTTTTTACAACTGGCTGAGTGGGGGGTGGGGGGTGGGGGTGGGGCGGCGCAGCGGCCGGCTTACATGTGCGCTCGCTTCCCATCAGGTCCTCGCTCTCCGACTCGTCCGGGTAGATGGCCGTGACGGTGACAGCGTACTCGGTGTCAGGGTCCAAGTTCTCCAGAACGTGGGAGGTCTCGTCGCTATTCAGGATGGCCTGGAGACGGAGGGAGAGACAGGAAGTAACATGTTGGACAGTCTGTGACTATAATCCGCCATAACATGTTTTAACAACAGACGACAAACACTCAGCGATGAATTAGTCTTTCATCAAAGTCCATTATTTCCTCACCTGGACTAGTGGACATGTTGGACACAGACGACTCTGATGATGAGAAATATATTTTCATACTCTTGATATTTCTGATGAAGCTAAGCTAGCTAGCTAGCTGCTTCAGGTCTTTGCACAAAGCGAAGCTAAACACACTCTGACCCTCTGTGTGCTGGATGCAGATGTTGATATTCACATCTGACACCGGGACGCTGCCGTTAACTTCGGTTTGATAAGAAATTCATTAAAAAAAAAATTGATTTTTCAATTTGTAGATTTCTTCTTCATAGTAAGTTTTTGGTTGAATCTGTTTCTACAGGTGGGTCTGTTGTGTTGGTGTGTTCAGCCATGTTGTCTTTCTGGAAAAGGCGACACACGAGCAAAATGTTTCCTTTCAAGAAATAACAAAAAAGAAAAAAAGAAAAGAAATATTTGGTCTTTAAAAAGTGACGTGCACCGACGAATGTTTGACGACAGCTTTACAGAGAGAGGCGTTTTCGCAGCTTTCTGTTTTAATTAGTCAATAAAGAAAGTCTATAAAAGTGGAATCCTGAGATAAGCTTGAGACTGTAATGAACAACCTGGTATGGATTTCATTTCATTCAGAGTTTCGAGCTGGTGTGTTGGGTGGGGAGACAGAAGTGGGCCCGAAAAACAAGCGTGGAGGGCCAAAGCTTTGTGAGAAGGAAACAAAGAGAGCATTATTGTTGCTTCAGCTACGATGGATGTTTTTACTTAAGTCTTGGCATACACGATCACTGCGTTTTGTGAGGCATGGCAGTTTGAAAGGATCTGTGAAACCACAATGGATCATTACTGAAATCTTCTTTTTTGTTTTTTTACTTCAGTAATAAGAAATATCTTAAATGACAAACCTGCAGTAAAACTGTTTCAGTTTGCTTTTAAACAAAGCTGCCTTCAGTTTCATGGCTGTAACTCAGCCGACCCTCCTCGGGAAACAGTCCACGTTTTAAAAAAGAGGCAGAGACTTTTACTGGAAGGTTGATGCTTTAAATCTGGGCTGTTTGATTAAAGCTGTTGGTGAAGTCAGTGTCTGCAGGTGTGCTCGGACGCTCTGACCCTGGACTCACAGCTCTACTCGCTGTATTCCAGTTCAGCCTCCAGTTTTAATCACAGGAAGGAAACACCAGCAGGATATACAGGCAAAACCTCCGCCGCTGGTTGGATACTGTAACGATGAGGCAACCGAAAGCAGATGTTTACTGTCACTGCAGACAGACGGCGCTGTCCAAACAAAGCTCCTTTGCATATTTGAAGAGAAAGTACTTCACCAAATTATTTATCCAGCGGCCAAAGAAGCATCTCTGAAACTCTGAAACTTGTGTCACCGTCCACCTTAGAGGATTGTTTTACTATATTTGAAGAAATTCGTTCATTAAACTTCCATCTGCTGATTAGTCGACATGTTAATGCTTGTTAAATGTGTACTGTTTGTGACTTTCAGTAAATGGACTAAAGCTAATGATAAAAATGAAACATTAATAGTGTTTATTATCTGGTTTGGAAACTGTCTTGTTCTAAAGTGCCGAACTTACAAACTGGAAGTTGGTCTCCCCCTTCTTGGTCCAGCCGATGCGGTAGAGGGCCACGTCCGGGGCCCCGTGATCCCAGGTGGCCCTGAACGAGGTCTGGGTGACCTCGGAGAACTGCAGGTTCTTGGGGGCCGGAACAACATCTGTTCACACAGTCAGGGAACAAGAAAGAGTGCGGATGTGTTTACGAGGAGGTCTGAGGGATGAGGCAACATCATGTGAAGCCTATTTACTGTAGCTGTGTGTGTGTGTGTGTATGTGTGTGTGTGTGTGTTTGTGTTTGTGTTTGTGCTTATGTGAAAGTGTGTGTGTGCATGTGTCTCTGTCTATGAGAGTGCTGGTGTACTCCATCTTTGTGAGGACCGCAGTTTAGACAACGCCAGACCTGTTTGAGTTGCAGAACAAATCAGAGATGTGGACGGTGACTCAGAGCTTTGCAACCAAGCTAGCTCTGGGTTAGCGGCTAGGAAGTGTGTATCACTGAGAGCCCTCAAAAGTACAGAACTACAAATATGTGTGTGTGTGTGTGTGTGTGTGTGTGTGTATGTATGTGTGTGTAAATGCTGAAAACAAGTTGCTCCTCAGTTCACCTGGGATTAATGATAATCAGGGCCAATGCAGTAAATGATCACACACACACAGATTTATTGGTGCACAGAGAGAGTCCCGCCCTTCTCTGAACTGTTTCCAGTCGAGGAGGGAAAGTAAAGAGGAACGTGATGTCGAAGTTAATACCGACCTCGTCACGATCACAGACATGGTGCTCGTCTCTAAAACACGAGCACAAAGGGAGGAACAGGAAGAGCAGCTTCAGACCTGTGATAGCGGTTCCCAGCATCGGGGTTCCAGGTCCCTCGTCGTAGATCGGGGTGACGGCCACATCGTACTCGGTCTGGGAGATGAGGTTGGTCAGGTCCAGGGTGGTGATGTCACCGCTGACTTCAACCTGCCGGTGGCAAACATAATCATCAATAACTGCAAAATCACCCACAGCCACTAACTGCTGCTGGGCCATCAGATTTTACAGTTAAAATGTGTTTGTGTTGCCAGTGCACGAATGTGTGGCGCTTCCTCTGACATGGTCATACTAACAAGACTTTGGCAAATACTTGGAGGAAAACGTATTTCTATTACCATGTTGTAAAACGTGGCCAGAGAAGATTCTCAGCTCTGATTGGATGGCGAGTGTTAAGTTCTAGTGACAGCACAGTATAACTGGACAGAAGAGCTTGGAACTAGGGTTATTTAAGTAACCAATAAAAATGTATGTATATATGATCCTGATTTAAATTTTTCTCAGCAGTGTACTACTCCTCGCTGAGTCTTTAAAGTGCTCACAAAAAAATGGAAATTTGAACCCATAAAAGGCTGAAGTTGATTTTTCCATTTCAGGGGCGAGCTGAGTAAAGTCAGCAGCAGAGGGGGAGAAAAGCCTTCACACTCAGAAGGCATAAATCCAGTGTGTGTGGGACTCTTCTGTGGAGACAAGAAGCCTTCAGCGGTAATCCTTAAGAGGAGTTGAGCTGGTGCTCGTCATTCATCACGACGTCCTGGAAACGTCTCGCAGGTGTCCACCGACGGCACCTTCGGCTGCTGATTCATCCCCGGGCTGTTTGTCCTCCGCTGACATCCAAGTGAGAAATTATGAGGACGGAGCGGTGCTGGGATGATCCAGTCAGGCTGGGCCGACGGCCTGAGCCAGCGCTCCTCTGCCAGCAGACTGCTTTTCTCATAAAGATCAGCCAACAATGTGGAGCTGCTGCTCTGCCGAGAGGCCGGCTGCAACTCTTGACTTGGTCCCGACTTGGTCGCTTTCCCAGAACGAAGATATCACTGCTGACTAAAGCTTTACCCTCATGGAGCTCTATGTGAGGTTTTATTGTTGGAAGGCCACCTCTGACTGACCTTACAAACAAGAACAGACCGCTGCCAGTGGAAAAGGTCACAGCTGCACGATTTAGACAGTAGTTTATAAGTTTGGAGATTGTCCGAACTGCACAACATGGACACAGGAGGAGCCCCCCCCCCCACGTTCATTCTTAATGGTTATAAGTCAGCAAACAAGTTTATTTCAGAGCTCAACTAAAAATGATTCCATTATCGATCAATCATCCGATAATGTTTTTGCGAAAAAAATGGATTCGTTCCAAAAGTCTCGGGACAATCGGCAAAAGAAAATGCAAACTAATGCGCGTTTCCCTTCACTACTGTGATGTGAACGTTAGGAGTCGGTCCACGGAGATGAAGAGGAGAACTCTCCTCATCGCTCCACACGGCTTCCATGTTTTCCTCTCTTCAGCGAAAGCTTGTGTGATCGAGTCACATTCGTCATGTAACGTTTCAAACGACTCACTTTGTCCAACCAGCAGATATTCAGTTTACAATCACACAACAAAACAGAGACGAAGCAGCAAAACCTCACAACAAAAGTTGAGAGCCAGAGAATATTTAGAGGTGAAACGGAAACGTAAAAACCTCAGTCTTACATCTTTGACGTCTCCGCCCTCCGGTTTGTAGGTGATCATGTACTTGCGGACGGGTCCGGGAGATGCGTCCCAGTTGAGCCTCATGGTGCTGTGAGTGACGTCGGTGATTCTCAGGGCTCCAGAAGGAGGCATGGGCACTGAGGGAGGACAGGGTCAGGACAACCGTTAGAACCCAAACATCCAGACTCAAGTACAAAAACATCTCTGGCGCCGGCGTCACCGTCACTGCTCCTGACCGACGCGCTGCAGCCGAAACTTACGCAAGAGCTGAAACCAGACAGCAGCACTTACAGCGATACTGTTTTTCACTGCATCTGTTTTCTATCTATCTCTATGCAGCTCTTATAAAATAACTGTTGACATGAAAGTAAAACACAGTTTCACCTTTCCAAAAGGCTGAGAAAAAAGTGACATTTTAAAGGATGTAAGATCCTGTGGCTTGTAACTTTTATGCAGTTGATCATAACATGACAATCATTTTTTCCAAAAATACATTTAGGAAAAAAGAAATATTTCCATATACTTTCTAACATTTCTTGATGATTACTCTTATGGCAGAGTGTTCACACCAGTTGTGTTGTATCTGGACAAACATCTCCCTGAGGAAGAGCTGTTCTGAAGACAGAATTAATCCCACTGAGATAAACACGAATGTCATCATTATATGAGGCATAGTGGACGAGTTTAAGTACTTGGAAACCTTCTTCGAGTGGAGGTTAATCTTGATATCCGAGGCTGTGCTTAAGAAAACACAGACAGGTTTAGAAAAAGCTTAGCTGAATCTTAGATTTGAGCTTTTTAAATCTTGACTTGTGTTAGCCTGATCATGAGACTGAACGGTCATTTAGCGGCTCTCGAGTCTCAGTGTCTTGTTCCGTCTGACCGGCAGATTTTATTTTGACGTTGGAAGAGCAGTTTTCATCGGTGCTTTAATTTTGTCGCTCATTCAACACCAGATTATCTCTGTCCACAGAGGATCTCTGCCTCCAAGGAAACGTGTGTGTGGAGCTAAAAACTGCGAATACGTACAGGTGACTCCCGTCCCCTCCAGGGGGTCGCTGGCCGCTTCTCCGTGCAGGGCGTACAGTGTGATGGAGTACGCCGTGTTGGGTATCAGCTGCACCAGCTGCACGCTCGTTACGTCTCCGCCAACTCGCACCTACAGGAGGAGAGAGGGGGGCAAAAACGAGAAGAGAGAGAGAGAGGGTGGGGGGTGGGGGGGTGGAGAGAGGAAAGAGGAATGCAGATGGAGGTCAGACAGCAGAAGAGACTCAACACCTGGAGAACAGGCCTGACTCTCCTCCCTGCACACCTGAGGCATGAAAACTGCTGATGTGATAAACTGATCATGGTGAAAATACAGAGACATTTCCAGCTGCACACCAGTGTTTCTGCATGTTTTACAGTACACGGCCAAAAGTACTGGGACACGTGCTTTTATGTAACTTGTTTGGAAGATGTTCTTCCTGGTTTGAGCTTTTCATGCAGTGATCTTCCAACTTCATGTCAACAGCTTTTGTTTCAACACGACAGAAATGGTTTTCTCAGGGTTGGCGTGGAGGAACGAGTCTGGCCGGCAGAAAGCCCTGACCTCGAAGCCGGAGCATCACCTGAAGGTGTCGGCCTCATCATCCAACACTAATGCTGGACTTCACTAATGCTCTTGTGAACGGGAGAAAATGGAAACACATTAACTGGGGGGAAAAACACCAGTATGGTCCTTTAAATGTTGCCATGTGTCAGAAATACACAAAAAAATGATTTCATGTCAATTGATTAATGCTGATGAATAATTCAATGCTCCGCTTCATCTCCAGATCCCCATTCACACTTGGGTGTGCATATTTTCCAGCACAGACCACCGCGCCGTGCATTAAATCATCCCTTCAATTTTCCTCTGCTGTATAATTGCACATGTAGGTTAACACCACAGAGGCGTTCAGTTCCATCCGTATAGCATCTGTTCTGCTTATATCATCCCGATGACTTCAGGCCATGAGCTAATCCTTCCCATTACCCAGCGCGTCTATGAGGGCTCTGCTTTTTTGTAGGCCCGGCCCGGCCCGAGCCGCGCCGCTAAAGTGCACTTCCTGCTCTGCGAAGCGCTCATCATATCGCCATCTGGAAACAGTAAGGCGGCATGAGCAGAAGCCCACTGGTCTAAAGTCGATGTGGAAATGCTGAGCACACAAATTAAGATGTGTGAGTCTGTGAGACCAAGTGTGTGCTTCTTATGTTTGAGACAGTTTGTGATACACTTGATCCTGACAGCTGCTGCTCACGGGGTAAATTTATTCTATCACATTTTCATTTTAACACTTTACTTCATTCGTTAAATCGTTGGCTGCTGCAGATAACTACGTACCGAGGAAACTCGATCTACAAAGAAGGCTACGAATCTTTTTAAAAGGCCACACAGTTCACAGAGCTTCCACCTCCTCATCAGGAAACATTGCATTTCCTGTCTGTTCATCTCTGAATGAATAAACGTCAAAACTACTTCTCATGCTGCATCTGAAGGTAGCGCCGCTTCACCTCTTTCTCCAGCTGGGGCTCGGTGGCGTTGATGGCCTTGTACAGCAGCATGTAGCCCGTGGCGCCGTCCGCCTCCTCCCATCTCACCCTCATGGTGCTTAAGGTCTCGTCATAAACGTTCATGTTCCTCACGGCAGACAGCGGCACTGCGAGGACACAAACACACACGGTCAGAGCAGGGAATCGCTTCGATATCTCTCAGAGAGCCGAGGCTGGACACTCCTCTAGATTTCCTGCTTTAATAATAGAAATGTAATGCTTTGATGTAATTTGAAATATCTGACTAAGAGCAACAAATGACCGACTGAGTGGGACTGACATGATCTTTTTTGATATCTCGTATTCGGAGGGAGGTTTTGGCTCCATAAAAGGATAATGATACAAACAGGCAGGCGACATCAAGGTCATACTTCAGAAAATCCCCGGCCGTCCCAGAGAGATCATAAACTTCAGTGCTTCTGATGTGCAGAATATTTGGTATCAGATGTCAGGACTTTTCTCTTTTAAAGGATATTTTCTCTGGGCTTTTTTTCGTTTGTTTGTTTGTTTTGACTTATTTGACGTCTTTTATTCCTTCGGGGTTTAATGCTAACCAAGTTAACGCAGTGAGATCGCCGCTGAAGAAATCTGATTTCTTGGACAAGTAGATGCCAAAAAATAAGGTTTACATTTGAGAAGGCGTATGACAAAAACAGACGGGGAAGTTATTGCTGAGAGGAAACTGTAGTAGCTGTAGTTTCAGGTGCCTGTAACCAAAATAGTTCAATCTAAAAGTCTGACTGAAACTAAAATAAATGAGTCTAAATTAACTGGTTTCCACTGATGAACTGGTTATTTTTAACATCCAAACTTCCAGACTCGATTCAAGTCTTCAACCTATAAAGATTTGTTTAATCACAGAAAACGCTTCCTCTCGGGTTTTCTAAAAGCGAAGCTCTGCTCAGCTTCCTCCTGATCGTTTGAGCACCACGCCGGATCAGTCCAGGACACCAGACTGTTCTCCAGGCTTTAAGATGGAGCCACGCAGCCTGTGTTCTCAGAGACATTATGACCTAACTGAGTGTTAGTTTAAGAAATGACTGTAAAGTAAACCACAGTGATGTGACAGCCGCTGGTGCCATCCAAGTGAATGACAACAGAGCAATCACTTATTGCTTTATGACAGTGGAAAACGGCGCGTTGTAAAAATCAGTCGCACATTTAAGAACAAATAAAGCGAACATTAAAGGACAAATGTGCAAATAAAAAGCGCTTAGAGCCGCGCACTTAACACGTCGTTAAACTTTATCAGTTTATTTAAGATAGACGCAAAGACCACAGGCCAGATAAATAACTTTTTAACTGTTGTCTTTACGGCTCAATGTGATTCCCACTTCACCCGCCACAGACTAACATCAGCTCATAGCATTGCATCACTGGACACTGTCTGTGTTAAACAGTTTTCCGCCTCAGATCAGATGCTAAACATATGTAGTATAAACAGAGACGCTGGAGCAGAGCGTTGGGTGGAGGGGCGAGTAAACAACTTCCATTGATGTGTATGAAACAGGACGATGAGCAGAGAAATCAAGTTGTTTATCTCACGAACCATATAGAGGAAACAAAAACGCTTTCCCACAACAGTAAAACTGCTGCAGAGCGATGATGCTATCTGCCTCTTCAATCACGTCTGTCCACCCAAAGGGCAAACAGTGTCTTGTGAAAAAGCCGCCGAGCATGGAGGCTGAGAGGAAGTGGCCCTTAAAAAGGTTTAGTGGCGATGGGAAACACACTTACAGGTGGTCTCGGTGCCCTTCAGAGGCTCGCTGCTCGCCTCGCCGACCAAGGAGTAAACGTTGACCAGGTACTCGGTCAGAGGGTTCAGGTTCTCCAGCACCACAGTGGTCACCGTCCCGTCGACCAGCAGCTGGAACGATAAGAGACTTTAGTATTGCACATGTGACACGCACTGAACATCTTGTTTATTCCTTTGATCGGAGAGCTCTTGATTTAAAACTGCATTTTATGAAGGAGAACTTTGTTCAGCTGCTTGTGTTTGGACATTTGAGAATTTTAGGAACTTTTAAGCTTCTTTATATTCAATATTTAAAAAAAGAGTTCAGAAAGTTCACAATATACAAACCCTTCAATATAATCTACTGTACACACTTCACTTATTGTGAAGCTCAGTCAAGCAGGAAGCCAAAGGAAGCCACTCTCGCTCTCACTGGAGTTTAGCAACTGAAGAAGCAAAAAGGTGCCAAGTTTCTGTTCTTTTCCAAAAGCAGAAAATCTGTAGTCTGGTCAGATTTCTGTGCTGATTATGTCACTAAACGCTCCCAACATCAAAGAAGGAGAAGGAACGAGGATCAAGGTGGAGCAGGTTGAGAATAAAATGTTCCAATAACTAATCAAGCAAGTCCAAACACATACTGAACTGAGCCGTAGAGGATCTTTGATTTGGAAAACTGATAATGAAATGTGACTCGCACTGAGCTGTCAAACTTTTCAAACTAACCTGCGTCCATCTGAACAGACACATCACACATAACCAAGTTATGTTATTATAAAGAGAAAGTCTAGACCTGCTCTATTTGGAAAGTGCCTTGAGAAAACTGATGCTGTGAATTGGTGCTATACAAATAAAGATTGACATGACTTGACAAAGTAAAGACGATGGATTTTTTTTTTTCCACGCGTGAAATAAAAATCACCAAAACCTTCTGATTCAAACGGATGTTTCTGAATGTGAAGCTGCTGAAGCGGAGGAGAGCCGGACCAGTAATCCAGACTCTACAATAGATCATTAGGTCACATCAGAAGATGAACACACAGGAAGAGGCAGTTTGTCAGATAATCTGATATCAGAAAAAGATTTGGCTGAGAGTCGATGGACTGATCTCTGTCGGGGATCAGATCGTCGGGGGCCGTCAGGCAGCGGTTGGTGGAGGTCCAGGTCTCCTGTTTTTCAGCATTAGATGATTATAGTCTGTTAAACCGAAGCTATCGTGCTGCATTCGTGTGCTGGTGGGAAAATCCTCATGTGGGACGTTCATCTTGGCTGCTACACGGTGTCACATTCCTGCACTATCCTGCTGGAAAATCAGACCCAGAGGAGAAACAACAAACAAACAGAGAGAAGCTGCAGCTTCACGAGCCGGTGAAACCTGCAGATACATCTCTCTCCCTCTTACCAAGCTATCTGTATCTGTCATTCATTTAGCTCCACTTCAACTTTCAAATGCAAATCAAGTAGTTTTAATACTTTCCAAAAATCCAGTTGAGTTTTTGTTGTTTCTTTTAAAGGGATCTGCATTAAACTTGGTGGCAAGAACACACAGAGAAAACTCTCAAAACAAACTGGTTTCTGTTGGAAACAAGTTGAAATAATCTTATTTTTCACTTGCTTTCAAAAAGAATTTGAACTTTATGGCAGTGTGTTTTTTGAAGCCAGTTATCTGGATACGTGTGTTGATGCATGTTTCAGCTCAATCTATTTACAGCAAAACTAATCACCTAATCTTCCCTGTGCTTCAGCTTCTTTAGTGTTTTAGACTTTTGAGGGATTTACTTGACTGACAGCACGAGGTCAAACAGGAAAGGCATGGCGAGCGAGAGGAGCACGATATTCAATAAAGACCCTTACGAGTCTAAATTGAATTTATTGGTCACAGCGGTTGTCATTTCTCTCATAAAACAATGTTGTGTTGTGGGGCTCTTGAGGAGGAGACATACATTCCTTCGGAGCAGTCTCGTGTTAGATTGGTTAGCGAGGCAGATGTCCATGTGTAAATGTTGTCAGCTGTGCACCTCAGCGCTCGACTCCCAGATCCCAGATCACTCTGCGCTTTAAACCGCACCGACGTGACAGAGCGCACGGTTTCACTGTGGTGCATTCAAGTCTCTGATTTTCATCCTGCACTGAAATGAAGTATAGACGCGGTCTGAGAAACGGTCGTCAATAAAGTACGGCAGAGGTTTGGACTCGGGTCACATGACTTTCTCTTTGAGTCATGAATCTGACTGTGACTTTAAAAACCGGTGCCTCCTGACTTCACTTGGACTTCAGTCTTTTGACTTGGAAAGACTCGATATCCCAGCAGCAGCCTGACCTCAGATAACCTCAGATTATCACGTCCTGATCTTTTTGCCTTTGGATCTTGACGTGTGTCTGAAAATGATGAATGCAAATTTTAGAGCTAAGACTTGAGACCTGCCACGTGATTTTTGTGCACACCGCTTGGACTGCGTTGACACGTGCACGTAATCCTTTCAGCGGGTTCTAGCTTTTACTCAAAGTTAACCAGACAACTCCACAATGACACAAAAACTCATTGCCACAAACCTTTTTTGGGTCTATTTCCTGCCTTTCTATTCCTCCCTTACACATGAATGTTCCAGGTACACAGGAATACTTGTTTCATCTCTTGGCAGCGTGCCTCGGCCTGACCCCTTCTTCTTACTGGCTGTGCAGGGGATTCACGCTCTTGTTGCACTGGATGTAAATCTGCTCTAAACACCCAGCATGTAAATATCATATATTACACATGCTTTTGTTCATACCGGCTCCACAGTCCCACATAAACAGATGAGAAGGAGAGAGAGGGGCTGCACGGTGAGGTGTCTCGGCCCGGTGTGAGGTCTATAACGTTAAACTAAGTGGATCCAGTGGAAACTCTGTTTGATTTCAGACGAGCCCGATTCTAATCACACAGGCTCCGTCTGACGAGGGCCAATAAAAGCACAAAGGATGGAAAAGGCCCAGTGCTCTGTTTTGAAAGACCGAACTGACAGGAGGTTAAGTGTAAACTAAATGCAGGTTCACCAAAGCAACTGGGATCCAGATTTCAGTTCCTGAGGGCCAAGTAAACACGGCTTTGAATAGAAGCCAGACCTGGGTATGTGGAAACACTTTCAACAGTCGGTTTCTAACCTGCCCTTGTGAGCGTCGCCAAACAGGACGACAAACAGCAGAATATTAAACAGTGTGTGGGGGGGGGGGCGGGGTTTAAGTGTCTATTAGTCTGTTTTGGTGTGAGTGACAAGCTGCTGTTATCTAAATTCACAGGAAGTAGTAAAGCTCCCCTGATTGGTTATGAACAAACAAAGGAGTTATCTGCTACACTTTAAGCCGAGTCTAATGAGAGACAAAGGAGATAAATAAACAAACAAGATGCTATTTGATATTCAGGATCTGCTCCAGCACCAACACATGGCGGACAGGAAGTTTTCTGAACCAGGAATCAAACTGAGCAGATTTTTCTAATGAACCAATTATCTGAGAGACTTTTGACCATTTATACCTGGAACAACAGAGTAAAATTGATCCCAAACAACCACAACAGAACCGGCTCTTTATATCTAAACCAGGTTGAAGATGTTGAAGGGGGAAAAAGCTGAACAATGAGTTCAAATCAGGCAAAACTTTACAGCGTCTTTACAGTAGTTATTATGGAATTTGTCTAATTAATGTGTCTTTAGTTCTTCAGTTTTTAATTCCTTTTCATTGTATTCTAAACTTTCATGAATCTACTTGCCTGTCCTTGTGAACGTGTTTAACATGAGCAGTTATCTAATGACCGTTAGCTGTTATCATAAATAGAATGATTATGGTTATTATTATTAGTAGTAGTAGTCAAAGTGTTTTAAAGGATAAGTCTGGTGTTTTTCCGTATGTAAATCTTGTGTCTCAACTCTCTGCTCAGTCTGTGGCTCTCAGCTCCAAGTCCACTGGTTCCTGCTGAAGGTGCATTCATTGGGGACTATTTTCAGCGGCGGATTAATCCACATTTGGGGCTGTAGTGAGTATAGTGTGTGGGAGTCAGAATCAAGATGGTGATGAAGGAGCATGTCACTCAGTGCAGCAGGGAGACTCACTGATGTGTTTTTAATAGTGTCTGGAGACAGTGGATCTGTAGAGGGATCAGATACTTCAGGCTCTGACACACACTCTGTCCTAATCAGTAAGAAAACACTGATTGCTAGTTTTGGGATTTGTTGACAATAAGAAAAAAATATAGATGATTTCCAGCTTCATCCTTTAACAACAGCTACTACGCTGCCTTCAGGAGCATCAGGAAAAGTTCATTCATTGATGTCGACTGGTGTTTTCTCTTAATGTTGGAGAAGCTGCAGCTTTGGTTTGTGTTCTGCTGTTTACTTTTAATGTTCTCACTCTTAGTTTTAATTTGGGTTTTCAAACAACCAAATCTGATGTTGCACATATTTGTGTTTCTCTGGATAAAAAGCGTCTTTTTAGTTTTTGCTTGTGAACAAACACCATCGGTTGGTGACGTGAAGGGAACAGGAGTTAAAAGCTTGTGTTTTGAAGACAGACTGACGGAGCTTCATCTCACCTCCTCGGTGGATCCTCCGGCCACCGGCACGTAAGTGACGCGATACTTGTCCACGGGGCTGCTGGGCGCCGTCCAGGTGGCACGGAAGGAGCGGTGGGTCACCTCCGAGGTCACCAGGTTGTTGGGCGGACCCATTTCAACTCCTGAGAGGGAAGAAAAACATGAGCTGAGATGTGATTCGACACGTCAAGTATTTCACACTTTGAACCCTGCCGCCACAAATCTGCCCTCGTCGTGTTCGCTCCTCTGACAGAGAAGCTGCTGGCCGACTGTATATTTCAGCTCCGCCTGCGCCGTAAATCTTTTTTGTATTTCCTCTTAAAATTGATTTACAGATTAAAAAAAAAAAAAAAAAAAAAAAGTACTTCCAAAGAAAGTTTCCATCAGATGCTTGGATCTCTGTTCCAACATCCTTTGGTGGTCAGAAATAATCGAGATTGTCAAATTTTATCTACAAATTTATCCCTTAATTTTTTTGCTTCTCAGCGACAGCCACGTCACGCTGATCTTTCCTTTTGCAACTTCTCAGAGTAAGACTTGATTTGTGAATAAAAGAGGACTTTATTCTCATCTGGGGATCACAATGACCGCAGCATTTCTACTCTCCTCTTGTCAGCAGTTCAAACAGGTTAAAAGCAGCTGCACCAAGGAAGTGTAATTTTGCTGGTGTGTCTTCAGTTGGACTTAAGTTTTATGTCGCCCTTCATAAGCAGAGAAACCTTTCACGCCCTCGAGCATCTGTAAAACTGCCTGAAAGCCCGTTGTTAAACTTTTTAAAATTTATGGTTGTCAGTCTTAAAAACTGTGGTTTTGTAAATTCCGGAAAAGTAGAACTTTCTGAAGCTACAAAGTTTCCATCTGACCTCAAACACCAGTAATTACTAAAAGGTGTAAATCTGACTCAGCGGTATTTAAAGAATAAGCTGCGAGCAGCAGCGGCCAAACTCCAGTCGACCGTTTTAACCATAAAAAGTCTCTTCAAAGTTCATTTTTAAGAGGGAAAAATCTGAAACAATTCATCCTCACATTAAGGAGTTCTCGTGTTATTAATAGCACCAGCATTAGGAAAATTAGCCTGCCATCCCTTTAAATGAAGATGGACCACTCTGCTGAGTTTTTCTCCATGGAAAGAAGAGGGATTGTTTTTCCCTCATATATTTAAGACTGTAGATTTAATTTGTTTATTTATTCAATTTGTTTTAAAATGTATTAATCTGGAGGGAAAGAAAACTATTTGCCTATAAAATTCAATTATGAAATAAAACTCTTCGAGCTCAGTGGTTGAAGCTTCCCTCAGGTCATCTTAGTTTCACGAGACAAATTTAGGAAACGTGGCGCCGTGCTCCTTGAAGCTGAGTCTTTGAAAACGTTTTTCCTACCTGGACCCTTGACGCTGTTACACAGGTTGATGGTGAGGTCGTCGACGATGTCCAGCAGGAACTGGAAGTCGTTGACGTTGTACATGTGAATGTCGTCGGGCTCGGAGGCGATGGTCCTCAGCTCGTTCTCATCGGCATTCTTCACACCTGGGAGGAAAACAGACCTTCAGAACTACACCTCCACAACGAGACCCAAAGCAACACTCATTTGTTTTTATCTGGTTGATGAGATGATGAAGTTACATCTCTGCCAGACGCCGCACTCACCGATAGCGTAGAGCTCGATGCCGCTGTCCTTCAGGTTCTGGGAGTTGATGATGATTTCGTCCTGGGACTTTCCGTCAGTGATCAGGACGCCAATTTTGCGGGCGTCATCTCGCAGACCCACATTGGGTTTGAAGTTGTTCTGCAGGATGTAGTTCAGAGCCATTCCTGTACGGCAGGAACCAAGAGGTTTTACAAACAACTCTGGGAACTCGTTTCTTCTGTTGTCTAACTTTTCTGGGGCTCCAGTAAAAGTGTAAATTCTACTAGCTTCAGCGTGCATTGGACACAGAAACGTTAAATCACCTGTCATGGTGTTTCCTCCTTTGTACGGGAGGTTGTTGACGGCGTCCAGCAGGGACGCCCTGGTGGGGTGGGCGTTCAGATGCCACTCGGTCTTTGGGTCTCCGCTGTACTGAGCCAGACCTGCAGGAAACACATGGCCATGCAAACTGAATAGGTTTGCTAACAACCTATAGCAGTGGTTAATAGAAAACGTGCAAACAAGTGGCCTTAAAACCTTTCAATGACCTTCACTTATCCAGTAAATCACAGCAGTGCTGCGGGGCGTGTCAGAGCAGGTGTAGTAACAGTAGTTGTAGAAGTCTTACCGATCTGGACCCTGTCAGGGCTGATGTCGAAGACGCTGACCATGCGGGCGATGAAGTTGCGAATGGTTTTGAAGTTGATGCGTCCGATGCTCCAGGAGCCGTCGACCAGCAGCACGATGTCGGCCTTCGCTGTGGTCTTACACTGAGTGTCTGCAGAGAGACAGCGGGGAGGGAAGGGGAGGGGGGGCAGTGAGAGAGAGACACCTGGTACACCACAGACACCCACAGCGAGTGTCTGCTCAGTCTTATATATGAACCGTGTCACTGTGCGACTGTGTGTGTGGGGAAAGTGTGAAGCGGTGAGAGGGAAAGTGAAGAGCAGGAGAACATAACAACGCTCTCACAGTCAACCAAGACAGAGACGTTTATACAGCAGAATGTTTTACACAGCATTATGCAACACAAATAATTCACACTGGTAACACATCAGCTAGCACAACAGCTGTCACTTCTGGATTAACTGCTCTCTCTTCAGGGCCTTTTCTCTCTCTCTCTCTCTCTCTCTCTCTTCCAGCAGAGCGAGTCGTTTTTGGGTTTTAATATCCAGCGGCGAATCAGCCCTGTGGTCTTTTCTGGCTGACACTGAGGCTGTCCCCTCCAAACAGCAGGAGTCAGCCTCACTGACACCGTGATATACGAGGCCTCCCGCTCCCCACAGTTACTGCACATTCCTGCTGCAGGCACCTGCGGGAGGGAAAAACGTCCACTTTTCTAGGACGACACGCTCCACGGACGCTGAGCGATTAAAGACCGGGGGCCCCTGTGAGTGCAATTGAAAACAGGTTAGGAGACAATCGATTTAATTATTCAGTTCTTTTTCAGCAGGCCGCAGAAACAGATGCTTGATGCGAAGAGGAACTGAGTCAGATGCTTGGCCGCAGTCTGTTTGAGTTATACCACCGCCGGTAAACAACATGCTCATGTGTCCCTCCGACATTCATTAATAAAAACAGATGTCATAAACAGAGGCAACTTTAAGAGGCATCTAATACGCTGCAGACGGCCCGCTGGAGCTGGTGTCTCCGAGTGAGAGTCTGAGCAAATAAATATCCAGCTCAGTCTCACTGTGGGATAAGAAATGCCAGCAACAATTGTGAATTGTTGTTGTTTTCGCTTTCAGGCCAGAGGCTAACGATGCCCCCAAACTGTTATTGGCATTTTCCTCCAAAATCAAAACGGCATTATATGAGAAAATAGTGTGTTTACTGACAGAGAGTGAAGCAAACGCTGTGTCGGAATGAAGCTTTTGTGTTTTGAAGTTGGGTTTATATCTGTGGATCTTTCGTAGCTGTAGATGTATATCACCAAGTCGACTTTAGAGACTTTAAAAAACCTTGGAAAGTTAAGTTTAACTAAGTTTTTCTTTTTTCCTTGACAGTGGAAATTGCAGTTTGGATCAATTAATATGTTTCTCCAGGTGTTTCATCTGTTCCTCTGTTTCCGCCACCTTGGACAAGATGTCGTCAGAGTGCTGCGGATGAAATCATCACAGCTACTGAGCTCACGCGTCAAACTCTATCTGGACTGTTTCATACAGTCGAAAGCTCTAGGAAAAAGCAGCAGGTGGTTTGTTAAACGCTGGAAAGCTCAGATCATAAAAGTCCTCTGTAATCATAACAAGAATCTAGAGATAAACCAAAGAAGAGTTGAATCAACTCTTCGTGGATAAACATGACCTGGATGACTGAGAATTTGTAGAGAAAATAATCCAAATTTTTGGGTTTACAGTCATGTTTGTCAATCAATCATTGTTTTATTTTGGAGAAACGTGTCAGCCAATGTCCATGTCATTTTTACTGGAACCTCTGTACAAACAGGGAGGTCGATTAAAGCCTCCTCTGAGCAGCCTGCACTTTAACATACGAGGATCTCTGAGTGGAACCTCGGTGGAACCTGTTCCCTGCTCTGTGGGCCAGTCGGTCACCGTATCTGCTCCCCATTACAGCAGGAATCTGTGCCCAGGGTCAGCACCTCCTCCGGTCTTTGGAGAAGCATAACATTTTTCCTAGCTGCATACATCCCGGCGGCGGCGGCGGCGGCGGCGGCGGGTAGCGGTCTAGATCATTAAGAAAAACAACTCTTAATTGCAAGCAGAGCCATTTCTCACTCATCAGATAACGTAAAAATAGGAAACGTCTACCTTCGCGTGACAAATAAAGTTTTAAGCAATAGATTCTGAGCTCGGCAGTAACTCGTCTCGGAGATAATGACCATCTGCGTTTGCGGCGACACCGTCAAAGACCGGCACATCTTGCGGTGGCCGCTCACACGCTGGCAAATATGGAACGTGTGAGGTTGGCCAGGGAAAGACGTCCAATTGGGCAATTCATAAACGTTAGTGTCAACACTCCAGCGAACGCCTTGTTAAATAGCGTGTCATTTCGCTCCACATCACACTCCAAATGAGATACGGGGGGAGAGGAGAGGAGGGAATGCGAGCCAAGCAGCTCAGAATAATTTGTACTAATCACGATCATCTGCGTCGAATTTTTTGGTCAGCGATTTCCAAAGCGACAGTGATATTAATTCCCTTCGACAAAGAATAATTCAACATTCTGGCGCTAATCTGGGCAGAGCTTCGAAGGCGGATCACTCCTGTTCTGAGAGGGACTTGGATCAGAGAGCATCTGGTCTGCAGGCCTGCTCTTCGGGGCTGCCGCTGCAGTGTGAGGTGCAGTGCGGTCGAGTTATCGGCGGGTTTTTTTTACCAGGGGGGGCGATAGGAGGAGGCTCAGGAGCGTCGGAGAGGGTCGTCTTCTCCTCTCCTGCCAGGGGCAAACTCTCCCCTCCATCAAACATCCCAAACACGGCCACCGAGTACTTTGTTCCTGCCCTGAGGGGGAAAAGAGGAAATTACATAAACCCGATTTCAGTCTTTCACAATCTCCATTAGGAGGCTTTCAAGCCAAAATGAGATGTGGACAGTTTAAAAGAAAAGTACGTCCTGGTCTTTCAAATATCTTAAAGTATAAAAGCCAAAAAGAACTTGTACTGGATCAACAGGTGATGAATTTTTTTTTTTTACTTTCAAACTTGAAATAAGCAGAAAACGTTCTCACAAAAAGGCTCACAGTTGATTAAAGACGAGCTGCAACGAACTGAAAATTAATCAGCAACTATTTTGATAATCAATTAGTCCTTTGTTATAAGTTATTATTTCCAAGCACAAACGCCAAATGTTCCCCATTTACAACTTGTAATTAGAGAAGAAGAAGTTAATTACTGCAGTATCGTTAAATATCTACACATGAGGAAAAGCTTACTTGAGTTCCTCTAGAACCACTGTGTTATCATAGGGACCCACGAGCAGCTCCCCGAGTTCGATATCATTCCCGGTGGGGTGAAAGGTCACTTTGTAGGCCTTAACCGGTCCGGGCGCTGCTTTCCAGGTGACTCTGAAACTGTTCTTGGTGGCCTCTGAGGTCTGGAGGTTCCTGGGAGGCTTGTAGGGCGACACTGAAATAGAAGAACCCGGCCAGAACTTCAGGACAAACTTGCACGTGAGAAAATTCAACGCGATTCAAACTCTTGGCAAAAGGTTTTTTTCTTTTTAAAGATCAGCCACACCACACTCAAAGCCAGTTTCATTAGTCCATAATACAATTCCTTGATCCCGGTGTCACTTGTTAAAAAGCCCAGTGTCATGCCGTGTGTTAGTAATGCTTAGCGTGTGACTGAGCGTGTGTCTAACTGTGATTTTAGTGTTCTGGTGAAAAGACACTGCTTCTCTGCAGCGCAGCAGCACCTGTGGTGTGAGGAATATTCATCTTAACAAGTCGTTTAAACTCAAAGTCACTTCTCAAAATCTTATTTTTGGTGGAAGAATGAAAAAAAGAAAAAGAAACTTGGATGACAGAGTCCCATTTGTTTCCAATGCAGCAAGACTCATGAAAAAGAAGTGATCAAATGTCAAATAAGCAACTTTTCTCCCTTTGTTTCGCAATACTTACATTTAATAAAACATAAGGGGGACAGAAATCAACACTTCCTTATCCTGGGAAAGTTTAGTTTAACAATTCTTCCTCCTCAAACCAGAATCACATCAAGACACAGATGTCCTGGAAGTGAAAGTAGACAAATACACTTCCAATGCTGCATTTCTGCCTTGGACTCTTAAAGTAGAGTAAGTAGGACCTCTAGTTGAATTGCCCAAAAGCTAATTTATAACTTTATACCTAAATCTCTTAAAGCAACAGACAGTTCGCAGGACACCCTGCGAAATCGCCTCAGCTGCAGACTTTTCATTTCATTCCACCAACGATAACGATTTGAAGACTGAGCTCAGGTTTAAATCTCTTGGTTAAGATGGACATGTTTCTGCGGTGTACTGTCTCTCAGAGGGTTGAATTATGGACCAACGTACGTGTCGTTCCTACTCCTTGCCTTGCTTTTCCTTCCCCGCGCTTGTAGATGGGGTGAACGGCGATGTCGTAAGTGGTCATGGGCTGCAGGCGCTTCATGACGGTGGAAGTGGCCGTCCCGGGGATTTTCAGGGCCACTTCCTTGCCTCCGCCATTACTTGGGACATACTTCAGCCTGTAGTTGAGCACCTTGCCCGGCGCCGGCATCCATGCGACCTTCATGGTTCGCTCCGTCTCGTCTGACACGGTTAGGCTTTTACCGGCGGCAGAGGCTGAAAACAAAGAATACGAGGATGCAGATAATTTAGCGTCCAAACAACAACATGAACCCTGGATTTACATTTGGATGTTTGTTTGGTTTTTTTCTCAGTCCAAAACAAAAAGATCTTATGTTTCCTAAAATAAGAAGAAGAAAAAAAATCAGCAAATTCTCAAATTTAAGAATCTAAACTCCATTAAGTGTCATTGTTTGCTTAAAAAAAATCAATGGATTATCGAAGAGTTGATGATTAATTTTCTCCCTCGTACTATCATAACAAACAGAACAGATGGATTGACTCTCAGAAATAAGGACCGAACCACAGATATACTGGCAGAAAGTTTTTGGTGCTTTTAAGAACATATTTAGACCAAAGTGCAACACAATCAAAACGTCTCAGTTGAAGTTAAGAGGATTGCATGTAAGTGTTTATCATCAATATTCATCAGCTCCAGTAATCAGGAAAAAAATCCATTATCATCCATTATTTTAGAGCTGAATGACACCGCCTGGATGATTGCAGCTAAATATTAGTTTGTAACACACGGTGCACTGGAAAGACTAAACACTGGCCAAAGCCAAAAAGAGCATTTCAACATTGTTAAGAATTATTTATTTAGTTGGGAAACAAATGTCTGAAACAAACAGCTGTTAAGATGCACAGTTGCTTCTGGTATTAAAGATAATCGAGCGGACAGATGTAGAGTTGTGATATTAACTACCTGTCACTTGTTTTGTTTGTTTTGATCATGTAGAAGATGTTCTGTCTGGTTCTGGGTTCTGTACGTGCAGTACTGTGCTGTACACACTCACCAGTCTTCTTCCCCTGCCGCTTAAACCACAATCACTTAGTTATTTTTCATTTAAACCCCTGAAAACAATCATCCATCCCTCTCTGTTTTCAGGCCAACTGTGGTTTCCCTTTATATTCCTTCAGCAACCGTGATGTATTTATAACTGCAGGCATAAATGGTGAGTAACACCATCGGTTCCGTGCCAGAACCAACTGGTTCTGAATTAGGCTTTTACCCAGAGGTGATCAACTGGGGGGAAATGCTAATCACACCCCCCCCACCCCCGAAAACAACCAAAGCCTATAAAATGAAATTAGCTTATTCCGATGATTTCTGCAAGTGATTAAAAAGAACTTTGCAAGGGAATAATATGTACATTTAATGATCCCAAGGAAAGTTTTTCAAACTACTTGATTTCACTCTCGAGGACTTTTATTGGCGGAAAAGAAACATGGCGTCCAACTTTTCCACGTGTTGAGAGGTTTGAACAAACCCGCGAAGCCGCAGATGAAACAGTTTCTGCTGGAAGGACGCATGGAGGAACAATACGTACTGATGTGTGTTGGTTTATCTACGTGTTGCTTTGCTCTGTGTGGCCTGTTGATGTGGATTAGGATCATTTGATTTCCCGTGCGTACATGTACAGAGCATGTGAGTATGCACTGCGTCATTCACAGGACGTGACCAATACTCCCCTATAAACCAGGAGGCGCACGTGTTGGTGCTTCACCCGACGACCGCAGCTCCAATCAGTTTGAAAATAATCTAAAATGAAAATCATCATTTAAATTTGGGCTGTTTCCATAAACTAGAAAGCAGAAAACTTGGAAGATGCCAACTCTGAAATATGTTGCGCTTTTCCTGACAAAAGGAAGTATTGAATCTACTTTGGCTCGTGTTCATGTGGCACCTCGCCTCGTAATCAAAACAAGAGAATTGTCTGCCAAATGTCTAACGGTCAGAATATACAGTAACAGCTTCCAATAACTTCCTCTGGTGGTAAAGAGAGAGAGGGGTTCACGGCCTGACCACTGACTTTTAAAACACTCGGACTGACCCTCGCCCGACCGCAGAGCTGGTCTCAAAGTAAAAAATAGTAAAAGTCACGGCTGCACACTCGTGGTTCAGTAGAGCCGATCCTTCCCACACACAGTACAGACAGAGTATTGGGTAAATAGAGACAACGACGCCGACAGAGGTGCTCTTACCATCGGTGGTTTCCTGTCCAGTGAGCGGTTCGCTGGCTTTGTAACCGTAGTCGGCGACCACAGAAACCTGGTAGAGCGTCTCCGGAGTCAGGCCATCCAACACGGTGCTGGTGGTGTCTCCTGGTACGCTTTTCTGTCCCGCTTCCTCGGAAAACAACGACTTCCACCGAACGACGTACGTCCTGGGGTTTCCGGGCGCCGCCGTCCACGATGCGGTAAAGCTGGTGTCGGTCACGTCGCTGGTGACCAGGTTTTTAGGAGGGCCCACGTCTGAAAACAAGGAGCACAGGTAAGGACTTGTATTTCTGATTGAGCACAATAGGAAAACATTTACACCAACAATAAAAAAGTGGTCATTTATTAATGAGTGAAGCATTTCTCTTTAAATACAGATGAAATATTGGGGCTGATCCCCCCCCCCCCAAATCCCCAGATTTCCTCCCGGATCACAACAGATGTTTTGAAAGTGGACTGTGAGTAATTTTTATATTGTATAAAGTCATCCTGGCTGCGGCGCTCCTATGTTCCTTCCAGTATTTGTCAGTTTTTCTTTTAATCATCTTCCCTTTAAAACAAAAGGAGCCATTTGGACGTGCTGGCAGATCAGATTATGTTTTAAAATGGAAACTATTAAAAGGCCATGGAGTGGACGGCAGAGGAGACAGGAGGAACACGTGTGAGGAGATGTCCAGGCTGAACAGATATATATATATATATATATATATATATATATATATATATATATATATATATATCTTAATATTTCTGAGGATATTTTAAGGTATTTCTGCTTCATGACTGAGTACAGAGCGTTGAGACAGAAGACATAAAACATGCCAGGAAGGGGGATGAATTCAAAGTGTCTACGGAGCCAACAGGATAACATGGAGAGGAAACCTTGTTATTGAAGTCTATTGAACATCTTTATTTCATCATATCATTACTGCAGACCTTCCCCCTTTAGGTGGATTGTAAACTGCAGCCTTTGATATTCAGCATTTTGCATTTTTGCAGGTTTGATGACGCCTGAATATTAAAGGTGAATCTGTGTTTTAAATCCTGGGTCTTATTTCTGTAGCTGTGTTTCAGAAAGAATGAAGCAGGAGTCGGTTTGTGATGAATGATCTCACGTTGTCTCTTCCAGATGACTTCAGCTGCCCTGTTTCTTCACTATCTGCAATATCTTTGTGTTCCAAGATCTCAGCTATTAACATTTCTCTTATGCTGATTTTACAAATTTTATAAGATGTGTCATTTCTTTCTATTTTTTTTCTCCGTCCCGGACAACAGATAAAAATCTGCCTTTTTTTTGGCAGTTTGGCTCATTTACGGTTCCTTTGTGATTCGATCAGTGAGCAATGTCCCTGTCAAATTAAAACGAACATAATAAATGAATAAAAAATCTCTCCAACACTTTTGTCCAAAGAAAAATACGCTACAGGTTGGGTAAATGTAATCATGGTCTCCAGAGGATGGTTTTTTTTCCAAAAGATTTCTGGTCACCTTGTGATATTTCCTCTACCACCAAACTTTCTGTTTGTACTGAAAATACCAGAATTTAACAGGACAGGTCAGTGAAATCAACTGCATGCTCTCCAGAGGATGAACCCTTTTGATTATAGGACCTTTTTATTCTCAGCTCTGGAGGAACGCTGCATTTTTAGATCCAAATCTCAAACAGAACTCCTCAGTACACTTCGTCTTCAGTCCAACATTTCTGTATTTGCATTGAACACTGCAGAAGCTGCTAGCAGGGTTCACACCCTTGTTTTGGCCGCCTGCAGACATGCTAACCACTTTTTAAAAGAAAACACCGCCTCTGTGTGCAATGGTAAAAAAGCAGGTAAAACAAATGAAATGACAGTTCCACTACGACATCCTGTTATAAGACACTGGTCTATTGCTTCTCTTTGTGTATTTCTCATAGAGATCATTTATTTTGCGCTGAGCTGTTACTGCCAAAAAAACAGGAGGAGTTCTGAGCATGCAGTAAGAGCTTTTATGGTGTTTCACAGTTTGAGAGTTAACCCTTACTCAAACTCAAACTGTAGCCTGAACCAAAAGTCTTATTCTAGCACATGAACAGAAACCATGAAGGAACCAAATGATGCCACTTCACTTTAAAAAAATAAGCTTATTCTGAAACTAGTTCTCAGTAGAAACGGTAAATGAAGAACACACATGCAAACACAACAACACAAAGTGATTTCCACTTTCTGCGGGCTGAAGCACACAGGAGCCAAAACCCTGATAGGTTTGTTTAACCCACCGAGACAAAATCTAGCTCCCACCACCACAGTGGCTCATGTTGCTGCAAGCAGACATATGGTCACTTTCCTACACAGACGCATCAGACCGCTGGAAATATCTGAGACTGATGGAAGAGGAGGAGGAGGAGGAGAAGGCAGGGTCCATATCAACTTATAATCCTTCAGTTTAGAGAGGGTGACAGCCTGTACAGAGGGGGTGCTGGAAAGACTGAGGGAGCCAAGTTTCCACAACGTGATAATTATCACTAAATATCAGATCCAACTATATAATCAAGAGAGGGCGCATGAAATAAATCACATTCTGGCTTTTGCCAGTTGATACAGATCTTTGGAGAAAAGGAGATGAAAAGGAAAACACCGAGCTCACTAAATATTTATAGTCGGAAAAATTGTTTCTGGTCCGGATTCAAAACAACGAAAATCAGAATACTTCATTTAAAAAAAAAAAAATTTGTGTGCACAGTGAAAAAATAACTCAAATGAAATAAGCCTGGCTGTCGCTGAGAGTCGGCCATTTTTCATCCTGCCAGCTGATACCGGAAATGTCAGTCTGATAATCTCTTTAAATGTGCAAAACACGTGGGTCAGACCGAAGGATGAGCTACGGAAAACTCTATTAATGAATTATTACAGGTTGACAATCACTACAAAGATTCTGACTTTGAAAATATACAGTGCAAAGCTTTCAGTAGTAATATGTGAAAAAATACAAAAAAAAATAAATAAAGTTGCAGATGACTCTAATAAGGCTTTTAATTTGAAAAACTGCATCTGATTTGAAGTTTTTATGACAGAAAGAACATCAATGCGTCTAAAATTAAAACCGAGGATATATAAAACTTTGCTTCATTGATATATAACTGCTGGTTTATTTTTGTTGGTTATTTCACATGTGCTGCTCATTCGCCGTCACGCCAGTCTTCACCGCACAGACGCCACTGCAGCAACCACTATTAGCAGGAGGCTGGGAGCTCTCCGCAGCTGCTGCCATTTTTTATCTGCTTCAAGGAGCGCTGTCTCTCAAAGCTGGAGGCCGAGTCTGGAGGCTTTTCGAATAAATAACAGCCACAGACAGCCATCAGACGGAGTATGGAATATCTGGCACTCTGCGGACGCCGCCTGAAACGCACACAGGCCTGTTTTTCCACAGTCCATCATGAAGCTAATCCGAACATAACCGCAGGGAATTTAATGCACTGAAGAAGAAGTTTCCACTGCTATCTATCTATCTATCTATCTATCTATCTATCTATCTATCTATCTATCTATCTATCTATCTGTTCTGGGGAAGAACATTAGCTTTAGTTTGAAAGCATAATCTTTTTTAACATCTGTTTTTATCCGTCTATTAATTAAACTTTAATTTTCACTTTTTCTTGCTGGAAATCTTTGCTGGCATCACAATTTGGCTACAAATGTTTGTAACAGGTAAATTCTTGGGGAACAAGTGAAGCAAAGACAAAGAACCTTATTATCCAATCTGGAAAATTTGATCAATTATTATTATTTCAGACTTTTATTTGACTTTTTTTTGTTTACTTGCTGTCTGACCTATTTTCAGGAGATTTCTTGCAGAGAAATGAACATGAACTCATCTACAGTTCAATAACTGGGCAAAAAATTTCATCTACTGATGAAGATTGTGTGATACAATTGAAAGCTACTCAATGGACCTTGTGCTGAGAAGAAATTTCTGATAGTTTTGGGTAAATTTTGATAATTTTTTTATGATAAAACCTGGTTTCAAACCAAGTTAGTGCTAAACCCGACAGGTTAGTTGTAGTTACACAAACAGAAATGATCTGATTAGTTCAGTTGAACCTCAGTGGATCTAAAGAACCACATAAACGCAGTAGAAGTCTTTAACGACACTGTATATAACAGTCTGTATAATCTGTCTGTAAGAAGGTCGAGTCTCTCTCGCCACGGTAAGATTTACTGGAGGAGGAGCCTCGGTCTGGGACTCCCTGCTGCTGAAACCTTACAGTCGCAGTGGAAAGTCTCTTGGCTTCTTACTTTGTCTAAACTTGGCCACTCGACATGTTCCATCTACCGTCAAGACATTTAAAGCACCTTGAATTTCAGAGAGGGAGTCTAGTTTTCTTACGGGTGGCCCAGATGGGAGGAAAGTAAAATCACTTTGGCAGCGTTACTGGTGTTACTCCACATCAGAAGAGAAAACACTGTCCAGCCCGACGAGCAAGGAGGGAGGGCGAAGGCCACAGTGCGGCTGAACTTTGCGTCGTGAACGAGTTCTCGGAGAGAGATCGGAGTCTACGATGGTTCGTTTTCTGTCCTGCGTTCAGAATCTGCACCGGTTTATAAAAGTTGTATCACAACATCATCACAACTTTAATCAAGGGGAAAGAAGCTTTGGATGTCCAAAAAGTCAACCTTTAAAGAATCTAGAAGAACGCTCCTGGTGGTTTAAAGACTGACCACCATGTACAGTATCTTTAGATCCTCATGAGGTTTGAAATTTGGCTTTAATGGACAATTGATTCATGAAAGTTCAACGCTCAAAACAGGAAACCTCAATTGTCTGGAAAACCTCCTCAAATGCACCTTTAATTTTAATTTGGTTTAATTCACATTTGTCTGACTGGTTAGGACAGTTTTCTGGTTTCAGCGCTCCGTGGAAATAATTCAGAATGAATTATATAACTTCACAGTCGCAGTGTAATCTGTCTGACAATCAGTTTGGCTCTTTGTGATTCTTGAAATGTTCCTTTCCCTCTACAGTCCTGTAAGGTTTTCCATCCCACAGCAGCGTCACGCTATACTGGACTCACAATTAGGAAGACCTGGTTCATGTCAATTTGTTGGGGTTCTTCCAAACGAGTGTGAAAAATGAAGGACTAAACGAAGAAAGCCAAAAGCAGCTGCAGCCCCTTTATAAATCAGCTGTAGACACGTTTACACCCAAACAAACGAATGAAATGGACCACATCTATACAAATGTCATCGTACTCTACCCGGGGATCTACTGTGACTTTGTTTGAACAAATTAAGACAGAATGAAAACAAAGTTTCTCTGTAGCATTTATACAGTAGTTTGGGAAATGACCTGAATTAGATTTGATATATCACAGAAAACAACTGCAACCTGATGGTTTTGGCACCGAGCGAAGTTTTCCATTTTAGCTCCCATTTGGTCGTAAAACGGAAATGTATTGCGCACAAATGAGACCCCAATGAAGCTTAATGTGAGCTCTTACTGTACAATAAGAGTTTTTACAACAAGAAAGAGTGAGCTCAGTGGTTTTAATGTGGGTACAGTATCAGTGCAGCTGAGTTTTCCGCTGCAGATCGCAGCAGGTTTAGCCCTGCATGCGAGGGAAACAAAGGTAATGAGGAAGCTCTTGCCAGCTGCCTCTGATGCGAGCCAACACCAGGGATATCCGGAGGCCTTGCACATGCACTTCAAGCGTCCTCACACTGAACCAGACCGTGAATGCAACACGGCGAAACAAATACACCGCGCTGTGCCAGTGCGGACACGACGACTTGTGCAGGCCGATACACAGAGACTGTGGACAACGCGATGAAATTCCAGGCAAGCCCTCACAAGGTGGAAAGAAAAGGGAAAGAAAATAACATGAAGTAACAAGGAGAGACAGAACAAGAGAGACGTAGAGGGAGGATGGAAAGAGAGACGCAGCGAGAAACAGATGGAGAAAGACAGACGCTAATGTGAAGAGACAAAAGAAAAACAGAGCGGAGGAGAAATGGGAGGTGAAACGGGAGGGGGGGGGGACACAAAGACAGAAGGTGAGAAGGAGAGGCAGGATGAAACAAAGACACATGGAGACAGAGACATAAACAGAGAGGAAGACAGAGACAGACACAGAGACGGGAATGAGTCAGTCTTCCCTGCTCCTCCTAACCTTCCAGCCCCTCGCTCTCAGCTGGGTTACATTCCTGTCCAGTCTTGCTGTTTCTCATCTTTACCTCTCAGCCTGTGTGTGTGTGTGTGTGTGTGTGTGTGTGTGTGTGTGTGTGTGTGTGTGTGTGTGTGTGTGGCTTCGCTGCTCTGTCCACTGTTACCGTTGCAGCACGCGGCTCAAAGAGCAACAAGTCCATCCACAGTCCAAGACGCAGCGCTGAGCCAACGCCGCTTAACAAGTTCAGGTCCAGCACAGTGGAAAACCAGCTGCGCTGTGTGACTATAGCTTTAAAGGTAAAGCTGCGTCCTGTGTGAATGTGCCGTAGCGTGGGAACTGATTGGTGAGTAAACTGTGATCACAGCTGATAAAAGATGACGGACAAAACGACAAATCACTACAACACCAAGAGTAAATCTATATAGGTAAAAACTGGGACGGCCTCTCCCTCCTTCTCCTTCTCTTCCCTCCTCTCTCCACTCCCGTTCTGACTGTTTATTATCACTCCCCTGTAACAATAAGCCTGACCCCTGGGAGCCTCCCTGGGGACTGAGAGCAGGATCACTTCTAACATTTTGTCATGTTCAAACACAGACTCGTATGAAGTGTTTTGCAGAGTTTGTTTTTGAGAGCCCTTCAGATGATCTGGTCGTCTTCCAGGATTTAGTCACAGCAATCAAAGGAAAACCTCAAACATTAGCTGTGGTTTTTCAGCCATAAAGTCATAATGAAAAAAAGCATAATCACTTAATCTGGGAGGATCAGCGGCTCGTGGCCGTGCGCCAGGACTGACACAGAAATGAAGTTCTAGCTTTAAAATTGCTGTTTATTTTACACCTCTGCATGAGCTGTGAGGACGGATGTCCGCCTTCCCTGATGTGTGTTTATTTATCTGCGATTCTCAGCCTCCGTCAAAGCAACATTTTGATAAAATCTAAATGAATTTCATGAAGCGACACGTTTAATAATAGTGACACATGTGAGAAGCTTTCGAGCCTTTTCTTAGTTAACTGTCTTGGTTTTACGGTGCGGCCTCAGTGCCGTCTGTTAAACCACCTGCTCAATGACAAACAGCACACACACACACACACACACACACACACACAACTGGCTGCTGAGGACAAAGTGGGACATTTAGCAGCTGAAGAAATGTTTTATAAGGAGCTAAATAGGAACTAGACAATCCCCATGAGTGGTCATGCCGCTCTGTGTCTGCTGGATGTGCTGAGCAGGAGGGAACTGAGGTCAGAAGACGAAGCCACAGAATAAAAAGATATTTTTAAATGTTGGTTTTCTCGTGTTTATGATCTCAAAGTAACAACCTTATTTATAGAAGCCCGTCTCTAATAAAAGCCGGATATCTGCTTTAGTTGAGGTAAATAAAAAACCCCTTTCTGCTCCTATTCGAGGAGACACGGGAGGACACGTTCTGGGAAGCTACGATTTTGAAAAGATTTTGAAAAATTGATCACATCGCTGCTTTTTGTTGTATTTTTCCTAACTACTTCCTGATCCAAACTAAACCGGCCGCCAAAAACAACATCACTCTCTACAACATTGACCAACATGTAAAAGTTTTATCATCTCTTTCTTCTGTGTTATAAGTGATGTCAACATCTCTGGCTACCTGGATAGAAAACAGAGTCCCAGCTTGGAAAATGTACTAAAAATATTCTTCACTGTTCAGCGCAGACCAGGTACAGTGTTTATGTATTTTTTATTCATAAAAAGCATCTGTTTTTTCAGCTCTGTGACTTGAATGTAACGGTCTTCCATGAGTGTGTGTTATATAACAAAGTATTCCAGACAAAAGGCCCTGTGGTTCCTCATCATCAGCCATTACGTCCTCGGCCGGATACAATCTGGATGAGAAACTCTTTCTGAGACGTCCTTCACCGAGACAGAAAACTCCCGGTTTGCTCCCAGAGAGCTACAGTAGAAAAGTGTGTTTGTGCTGGGCAGCTACCAGGATGTGAATAATGGCGAAAAGAGATTATGAAAGTGAAGTAGGGCATGTTCACACAATTCCCCTTTTGAAAAATAATTGTTAAAACAAAGCAGTGACTCATGTGCCCTGCTTTAACTCCCTGGTGTTAACGCCTACAGCTGATTATTACCGAGAAATATTATATTGTTACATCTGCCTGCATGTGTGTTTTTCCTACAGTAGGTATGCTGCGGCGACAGCTGCCTGGATCCCGCACCGAGTGATGAAAATGTCATGGATTTAAATGCATTTCTTTTCTTTTCTTTTTTTTTCCCCTAATACTCGGCAGGAAAAATGGAATAAAGAGTAAAGTGATTCTCGTGTAACCGTGTATTATGAGCTTCCATCCCGACAACTGGACTTTGTGGAAAAGACAGCGAGCAAAAAGGGCAATTCATGCAAAACCTCAAGGCATTGCATCAATTCATAGTTTAGAGGTAAAGTCATGGCACAGTAAACATTGTAATGGGAACAATATTGTAAGCCATACAAGGGGGGTGGGGGTGTTTCATGTCAGAGAGGTGCAAGCTGGGATTAATCCTGCCTCTTTTTATAAACCGTCAAGTGAAATCACCTCAGATGACGAGCAGCTGCACCGTCTGAAGGAGCTGCACACACACTCCTGCATGGTAAGAAACGCTGTTGCCATGGTACAGAGGAATATAATTTGTTTATTTCCAGCTGCATCCTCAGCGTTTTGGCTCAAGGTGGAAAAATAATAAGTGTCTTCAGAAGATATACGTAATCGCTCCCTTAAAGTGCTAAAGCTAACTGCCCTTAGCTGGAAGTTTCTCCATGAGATAATCCTCCTTCAAGAATCTATGAAAGATCAACCGAAGTTTTTCATAACGTCACCGTCCAAAGTCGAGAGGGTTGTTAAAAAAACATCTCCCCCACTTTCCTTCTTCATTGTTTATCACCTACGAGTACATCTTGACCCACTTCTACTTCCCTGCGTTCTGCGCTTCCGTCTGTTTTTCATTCCTCTCCCTGTAAGGCAGGACAGATCTGACGAGGAGCGCGATGGGTGGCAGGTTGTACTAACACTGCAGGGTTAGAAGTTCACTTTCCACTGGGGTCAAAAATGTGTGGACTCCTGGCACTCCCAAGCACTTTTGGAATACAAGCAAACGCCAAACGGCAGATGAAGAACTTTAAAAAAAAAATGGACAAATAGAGTCACTGAGGATGTCAAAATAAAGCCTGAACTTATTTCCACTGTGGTGTTTCAATGACGCAAAACGACGGAAAGAGAGCTTGGACCCCAGAATGTTTTAGTCATCTCGCGTCTTCGTGATTAAATGTGTAATTAGATTTTTATAGCTTTTATAATCCCATAGCACAAACAAAATGATCAGAAGACATCTGCAGGCACCTGTTGTGGATCAGAACCAGTGACTCAACGATTACTTAACCGGCTGCTCAGTTTTCTGGGACTTCAGCTTCTGACCCAAAATCTGATGTGGAACAAAAATCTGCCACCTATCAAACACTCACGTAGATCGTATTTATTAGAGCATCTGTTGATCATTATCTGTTAACCCTTTTGAACTCTTGTCTGTTTCATCTTGGTTTGGTTTTCACACCCTTTATTTACAGGCTTACAGCACTACATAAGCCTTATGTCACTGCATGTCTTAGTCATACCATTTATTGCAGTGTCAGGATATGAGATCAGGAAGGAGATCTGAATGAGATCTGTGTGTGTGTGTGTGTGTGTGTGTGTGTGTGTGTGTGTGTGCAGAGCTCTCTTCCTGTTTGCAGTGTATAAAATGTTTGCCTAAAAGCTAGAATCACCTTCTTTGGTGGTGCCGTCGGTCTGCTGTGGCGCTCCGGGGCCGGACTGGTACTCAGGAGTGACGGTGACACGGTAGGTGGTTTGGGGCCGAAGCTGCCGGAGCACAATCGTTGTTTCTGGGCCATCGGTGGTCGTCTCCAGCCTCGAGCTCTCGTCCCCAACGGGCTCATAGGTCAGGTGGTAGCGAATGACGCTTCCTGGAGCTGGCTGCCACGTTACTCTGAAGCTGTCTGTTGTCTCTTCAGATACTCTCAGGTTACGCACCGGGCCTTGTTCTGCAACATGGGAATGAGTAATGAGTTTCACTGCTCCCATTTACCAACTTAGAAAGACATGGATTAGGGTCTTGAGTCGACGTGTATACCTTCTGAAGTGGTCTCAAAGCCTTGCACAGGCAAGCTCTGCCCTTTCTCATAATGAGCGAAAATGTTGACTTCGTAGCGGGTGAGCGGGTTGAGGTAGGGGATGAGGGTGGTGAGTGTGTCCCCGGGCACAGATATGGAAACATAATGGCCGTCGGCATCATCCTCCGGCTTGAACTTGACCAAATAGGACTCGACGTTGTTGGCGTCGATCTCCCACGAGGCCCTGAAGCTCTTGGCGCCGACGTCTGAGAAGGACAGGCCCTTCGGTTGCACCAGTTCTGCAGAAAGGGGAAAGTAACAAGATTAAAATGCAATTTTAATCAAACACGAGCAGATACACTGAAAACAGATGGAAGTTGTAGACTACCACTGGCTTTTGTATATAAAGCACCATGTTTTTACTTTTTATTTAGAGTTTATTTGGCAAGAAAACTCTGATGAACCTCTGAAGCTTAATTTATGAAGATACTACAGTAAAATCTGGAACTTCTTTCTTTTCCCTTGATGTGGAAACATCAAAGATCCCTGTGTGATTTCTAGCACCAGTGATTTTACATATGGTTGAGTCGGAATCGACGGGATGAAACCAACATCAGTTAAGGACAAATATTTAACAATCAGCATCTCAGTACCACGTCAACGACATGAGACCGAAGTTTAACACGACTGTCTCTTCCTCAATTGTCGAAAAAAGCAAAAGTAAATTCACACCTCTAACTCAAACCTAGTAATTTTTTTTTTGCCGTGCTCATTTAAACTCTGGTAATACTGTTCCAGATGTTATGGCCCACGCACAGCGAGCTGCTAAAGATGTTATTTTCCCACACGGCCATTTGACGTTAGGTCCAGCTCTAGCCTGATTCATTTACTCATTGCAGTCTGCAGCTTATCTTTCTGTTTGATTTTGTTGTTTTTTATTTCATACAGTCATACAAAGAACAAACTGCTTTAAAAGCTGGCTAACACTCTGAGACTTGCGTGATCAATCAGCTCGGTCTCTCTGTGCTCGCAGGCTGTTATCCATAAAACACAAGATAGATGGCAGAAAAACACAGATCACCAAGGATGATCTGTGCTGAGCCTTTATCATGTTTAAATGTGGTTTTGACAAGACTTTCCTACAAAAAAAGATCAAAAGAAAACAACAGAGGATGAAGGAATCCAGGGGTTGCAGGGGCTGACCTACGCACCATTTAATAAAGACGTACAATCTACATCCCCGTCTGACAACACCATCATTTAAACAACATCAGGAAGGCGGCCGCTGTGAAACGCCCCGCTGTGGCAGCTCTTTGAGCCATTGTGCTGGATGGAAGCTGCGACTGAGCGGCTCATTCGGGCTCCTGCACACTTCTCTTTGTTGACATAAAGTCATTATTATATAAGAATTATATAATCAGCAATCAAAGCTGGTATGAGTCACATTTCTACGCTGGCAGACCTGGAAGCTCCTTTTGGCAAAGTAACTCAGAGTCATTCATTTCTGGCTTTAAGTGGGTGAAGCAGCTTTTTTGCGAGTAACTCTTTTCACTTGTTTAAACTTGACTACCAGATGTTTGGGGGTGGCTAATGATTTCAGCACAAAGAAAGCATCTCACAGTCAGGATTTGTTTATGGATACGTGACGGACAACACTCCAGTCAGTCTGGACCGTCCTGGTGTGGTAATAACTAAGTCATCTGGTGCTCCAACCACGTTTTAGCAAACGCAAAGAAATCTCTGCAAACCACTATTTGACCCAGTTCTAATATTTCCACATGCAGGAACTCTCCCTGCCCTTGAATGATCAAAAGCTGGACATGTGTTTAACACATTGAGGTAAAAGAGGAGGGTTTGGCAGAGAAAGACGAGCTTGGCACAGGGACATTAAAGTAATTGTGTGCGTATGGATGACTGTCTGTACTATTCTGCATTCTCCTCCACAGTGAAGGGCGGTAGAGTTACATCTGAGTGCTGCAGTAATTAATTGTTAAAATGTTGTTTTGATCACCGCAAATCACAATAGTTGACAGGTATTGTTACAACATGTGATTAAATCAAAATTCTAGACTTTTTCAAATTGGTTTGCTGAGTCCACGGAGTGATTAAAAACAGTCATCATAGCACAAATAAATATGTTTCAGTCCTCCATGTTTGATGACATTATGCTGAGGAAACTGTCATTTAGACCGGTGGCAACTGAAAAACTATCAACATATTCTGAATTTACATCTTTCTGGGGAAACATTTGTTAGTTTGAGATTAAGAATTTTACTTATTTAAGAAAGTTTTTGTAGCCTTTTAAATCCTTTAGCAAAATGTTATAAAACTAGCAACATCCTTAAAAGGAATATGCTGACTGAAGGTTGGTTCATCTGTAATCATACTAAGATAGCATGTGCCACAGATTAACCAAAGCTAGTTTTAGCAAGAAAATCCCACCCCAGAACAAAACAAAAGTGAAACGGCTCCAAATCTTCTTTTACAAACAATTACCAATATATGGATGACTGCTAGCTCAAAACTGCCTCATTTAATTAGTATGGCATTAGAGAAAACAGTCAAATGTGATCACTTTCATGCAATGAAACAAGTATTTCCAGCTGCATGGTATACAAAAGCAGCATTTTTGATGCCTCCAGCTGTAGTCATAACGCCCCAGATTCAGATAAGTAGAGGTACATCGGGAAATGTTTAACACCAAATCCTCAAACTGAACAAAGTGTACTGAATCATGGGAGTCACCGAAAGCACCGCTTTCCACTGGAGCTGAGCTCACTGTCGGCTCAGCCACGATACTCAGGATTCTACTTCTTGACATAAAGTTGACCAAAATCCACAAAAACAATCGTGATGTTTTAATCAATTGCAGGCAGGTGGTTACTGTGGTGTAAACCAAACAAACGGTGCTGATATAGAGCGAAGTATGAACTTTCTTAAAAATCCAATTGATGAAAGTCAGAAGCAACACCATAACCCAGATCTATCCAAGGTTTGAATCAGCAAGCTCATTTTCACAAACCCATCTCTTTAACCTTTAGGCCACCACTGCCCCACCAGAGGTCTACAGTAGGGTGCTATAGTATAGCTACTACAACTTTTTAAAATTTAACATTTTAAAATATCAACAAACTCCACGGTGAGTACAAATCTTTAAACTGAACAATGTGGTTCATGATTTCCAATTTACGAAGGAGTTATGAAAAACCAGGAAATAATCCACTTATATTTTCACCAAAAAGAACCAGAGAGTACCTTCTCATTTATGACAAAGTTAATTGAATCTGGTGAAAATAAACCAGAGCAAGTGTTTGATAAGAACCAGAATCAAAAATCAGGAATGTGAATTAATATCAGAATGGATCAAATGTAAACAACACACCACCCTAAATCACAAAACAAAGCACAGAGTCATCAGCATAGAGGATTAAAACAGTCTTACTTACGTCTCTGTAAGATGTTGCGCAGCTCTTGCTCGATTCTCAGGCAGATAGACTGAGTGAGTTCTTTGGAAATTCTCTGGAAGGCGTCGAAGTCCTCCACAGTGTACACGTGGGTCTCTGCAGGCGTATTGGCAATGGCCTCCAGCTCAGATCGTACGGCATCCTTAACACCCACCGCGAAGATCTCCACATCAGCGTTCCTCAGCTTGGTGGCCGGTTCCTGGAAAGCGTCGGACGACTTCCCGTCAGTGATGAGGATGGTAACGCGGGGAACGTTGGCTCGTGCTCCCCTGCTGTTCTGGAAGATCTTCTCCCTCACGTAGGTCATGGCCCTGCCGGTGTTGGTGGAGCCACCTCTGTAGGGGAAAGTCCTCACAGCCTTGACCACAGCGGCCAGGTCATGGTGAGAGTTCAGGTAGAACTCGGTGTGGGGGTCCCTGCTGTACTGGACCAAGCTGATCTGAACCTTATCTCGCCCGATGTCGAAGGTGTTCACCAGCACCTCCAGGAAAGCTCTCACTTTAGCAAAGTTGGCCAGACCGATGCTGTAGGAGCCGTCAACCAGCAGGACAACGTCGGCTTGAACATCCACGCCAAGAGAACATTCTAGATGAAGAAAGGAAAAGTTATGATTGACTGTCAAGTTCTTTACGCTTCAAAGAAAGCACATTAAAATATCTCAAACTCTGATCACGTATCTTCTCAGACTTGTTTACTGACAAACTAAAGACTGGGAAAGATTTCCATGTTTACATCTTACAAGCGTTGATGTTATGTATGATTACAGAGTTTGTCCTGTAAGGGTTATAATATCCTGCGTATGGTCTCATGGATGGATTATGAGAAGGTAACAGGTTAAGGTCGCCCAACCTCTTCTATACAGCACCCTCAGACTTCAAGTTTGTGTCTCCTTATGTTAATTTTTAGTCTCTCCTTGTGTTCCTTTTCCATCTCTATGTGGTCATTCTTGTCTCTTTGTAGAAACTGTGTGTTTCCCTGTGGTTATTGCACCTTTCTTTGAGATTTTTGAAGTGAGCTCTATGAATTTCACACTCTCCATGTCGAGACTTGACCTGCTACTTTAAACTCACCCAGTGACACTTTAACCGGCTGCGTCTTCTCCATGACCATGACGGGCTCACTGGGTGCCAGGCCCTTCAGAGCGAACAGACTGATCTGGTACTGGGTGTCTGGAGAAAGGTCTCTGACCACCACAGAGGTCTGAGACGAGCCCACGTACAGCTCCTGCCGCTTGCTGCCAGCCATCATGGGATTCATCTGCACCTTATACCCGGAGATGTCCCCGATGGAGGGGTCCCAGACGACGCGTAAGGACTTCGAGGACACCTCCAGGACTTGGAGGTTAGAGGCTGGCTCAATGACTGCAAAAAATCAGATTCAGAATCAGACATAAATGAAAAGAAAAAACATTTCTGAGAACTTACTTTTTGCAATATAACATACTGTACAAGATTTCCTGAGCTGTACTGTATTGTAATTAAGGTGAGCAGCGTCATCTTGCAACAGCACAAACAAACAACAGTTGGGTGCATGAGGACAGAGATATCAGTTTAAGATGTGAAGATTGACACCACACAATATGAAACTGGAAGCAGCAGACTGTTAGCTTAGCCTAACAATGAGACTCGGGGGGGAAGCGGCGCCGGGCTCTGACCAAATGTTTACAGATTAAACAAACGAGGTATAACTTGTGAATCAGTGAGCTTTGGTTAGTGAGCTTTGGAGGCGTTGGTAGGAGGAGGCCTGTTATCTCTGGACAGAGTCAGGCTAACTGTTTCCCCCTGTTGTCATCGATATTCTCATCTAAGTCTTTTTATATATACTTTGCTTTAACATCATGTGCAAAGTGACGATGGCGAAGGATGGTGAAACGTCTCACCTTCCTCTCCGCTGACGAGTGAGCTGAGTTGATCTTCAACACCAGCGCACACCTGAGTAATGAACTCTCTCTGCACATTCTTGATCAAGTCGAAGTTGGCGACATTAAAGATGTGATTTCCGTAAGGAGCGGTGGCTATCAGCTTCATCTCAGGTTCGTCTGCCTCTTTGACACCTTAAAAAGACAGACCAAGAAAAATAAAAAACATCAAAGTTGTGGTAAATTCAGAGGAAATGACACTTTATGAAAAGGTGGAAAACGCTGTCAGTGCCTGCCAAATGTGTGGATGTTTTCAGCTCGGAGGCGACACCTGTGAGGATTACCGTCTCAGAGGTAACAGGTGTAGCTGCTCCAGGTCAATAAAGACGCAAAGTGAAACATTGGTTTTTCCACGTTAGCGCATTAAAAGTTCTCCAGCTGGATTCATCATCAATCAACGAGTAAAAACAAAAACAAAAAAACAAAAACTTTTTATTCTCTTTATTCTACTCTGGCTGGAAAGTGCGACACCACGGGCAGTAAATATGAAACTGGCTGGATTCCATTTCAAGACTGGTTTTACGATCCTGTATTCCTTCTGTAACATTTTGACAGAAGAAGACTGTAACCCCTTTTTTTTCAAAGCAAGTATTACTCTGAACTCCCTGATCCACAGAGGTGGTCGCTCAGTTGGTACTTTACTCATTTTTTGAGACTTTTTTGCTTTTCTGCTACAACATTTCAGATGGAAATATTGCACTTTTTACACGACTACATTTATCTGACAGATAGAGACACTGGTCATTTTGCATATTCAAATTTTTCCATGGGATTTGTGGATGACATAAGATCAAAAAAGTATTGCTTATATTGTTCTCTCTCTTTTTTCTTACCCTCTTTACTTCCTTCTTTCCTTGTTTCCTTCCTTCAGCTTTATTTCTTCGGATTTAGTGCTAAAACTTGTTTCCAGTTTAACTACAGTATATTATATAACCATAATGAGTTCTTCTGCATTTGTTATAGTTTGTTACATTTAAAGTAAGTTTTGGCAGATGATACTCTTGTACCTAAGTAATATTTTGGATATAATTGAGTGTATTTGCTTTGTGATATTGCTACTTTTTCTTAAACAAAGGATCTGAACACTTCTTCCTCTGAGTGTTGATACTTTTCACAACTTGTGTAAAAATTGATTTTAGCTGAGAGGAAGTCAAGCTGTTGTGTGGTTTGAGAAAACCCTTCCACCCTCATCCTATTAAAATCCTCTTAAAGCCTGGAAAAGCTCCAGAAAAATGATCAAAGCTATGTTTATTTTTTGAGGAGCAGTAGACATTTACAGTGCTACTCGTGCATGATACCAGCTCCTCCTGCAGAACCTGGGGGGATATTTTATGTCTCGCAAAGTACTTTTCTATCAGTGACCTGATTTCACTGACTGTAAAAGATGAGCTGTTATTATTCTTTAACCACCAGCCCACTTTAACACCATAGCAACAGCCCACTTCTGTTTCTCCATCCTCAGTCTATGGAAAATCTGACAGTGAAGCCAGAGCATAAACATACATAAAACTTGCTATCACTCGCTTGTAATGTTAATGATGTAGGAATTTAACCTTGTTCCATTATTATGTCATCACAGGTTGCTTTGGTTGTGAACAACAGTTAAAAGCATTAAATACGGATGGAAAATGTAAGATGTGGAATGTAATAAACTTGTTCTGGCTGCATACCGAGGACAAAGATCTCCACCCCTGTGCTCCTGAGCTGCTTGGCGTAACTCTCCACTGGATCCTCAGATGTGCCATCTGTGACGATCACCAGCACTTTGGGAAAACCCATCCTGGCGCCGGCCGCCTCGGTGAAAGCGTTTTTCAGGATGTAGTTGAGGGCATCGCCTGGAGCGACGAGACAGACAGGTTTTACTCAGCTGGGATTAAGTTTCTGACAATGCACAGCCAGAAGGTGTCTGCACACACAGAGTAGGTTTATCACCTCTTAATTACATTCACTACGCAGTAACACGACCTGACCGAACTGTTGATGGGTTTCTTCACTTCTAAAGAGGTTTGTGAAAACGTATCAGTGTAATGTGAATATGAAAATGTGGAGGAAAAGGGAGAATAAAGGAAATATTCTTAGATCTTCGATACAGAATAATGAGAAAAATAACAATTTATTTAATAACAAAATTTAAAAACAAAAACAGCGTACCTGTCATGGTGTTTCCTCCTTTGTATGGCAGTGTGCTGATGGCCCGCAGCAGCGCCGGTCGTGTCAGGTGTTCGTTCAGGTTGAACTCTGGTCTGGGGGTGTCGCTGTACTGAAACACCCCCACGCGGGTTTTGTCCGCTCCGATCTGAAAGGCTCCGGCCACCGCCGAGATGAAGTTGCGGATATATTTGAAGTTCGGCCTGCCCACGCTCCAGGAGCCATCCACCAAAAACACCACATCGGCGACAGCGCTCACAGAGCATTCTGGGAAAAAGTTTAGGAGGGAAAGCAAGTGATGGAGAAGACAATAAAGAGAGAGAGAAGAAGAAACAAAACAGATATTGCAGGAAATTAACAATAAAAAAATAAAAAATAAAAAATATATATTTTGAGTTTGCAGAATGGAGGTTACAACATTCTTAGAAATGTACTGCACATGCTCAGTGTTGATTATGTTTTATTTGATCAAACCTCGGTATCACTCAAATCAACTCAGTGTGTTTAAAGATCATTATCCTGTTCGGTCGCACTGGATATTGATTGAAACTGCTCAGTTATAGGTAGAAGCAGAAGAATCTCTGCTCTGCTTTCTGGGAGTTTCCTCGTGACTTTTCCTCTCATGAAAAGAAGGAAAAATCAGCACAAGCTCGTCATCATCTGCAGAATGGGGCCAGGGCGGCAGCAGCAGCGCTCTTGTAAATCAGCATCTGTAATGGTTTCCACTTCTCTCAGCACTTCAGGGCTGGGCTCCTCTCAGCTCGCTCCCCCCCGAGCTACAACAGCAGCCTCCCGCCACGCCCACGACCCCCCTCCCACTGAGCATGTGCAGCTTCCTTCACATTGGCATAATTGGCCGGCAGGGGACCAAACCGATGACCAAATACTTCTGAGATTTATGGGGGCCTAATTTTGATTATTCCTATACAATGGGGTGTTGTGTGGTTGGAGCCTCCCTTCGCTGCTGAGCTCAGGCCGATGGACGCCGCCCAGCAGCCAAGGAGAAAACTCGAGAACAAAAAGTGGGAAAGTTGAGGAGGTACGGCAGCGACTTGAACGGGAAGGAAGTAAGACACCCCGTCAAATTAAGATTTAAAATAAACCAACAAAAGGACTTACTGACTGAATCTGTAGGGTCTGGCTTCTTGGATGGTCTGCCACCTGACTCAACTGAAAAACAAGAAAACAATCATATAATTAAAAAAGTTAGATACAATTCAGATAATGTGTTCTGTTTGAAAGTGTCCTCAAAAAAACCCTTAAGCCTCATTTAACGTAATTATTTAGACTTCTCAGATTGGAATAAAACTCTTTCTGTTTCCATGCATGAGATTTATTCTCTCATCTGAATGTTCCTTGAGCAGCATTTCCTCTTCATAGATACAACCAACAACACAAAACCCAAAGGGCGAAACTAACAGGTTGATGTCATTGTTTCTGACAGATTTCCAGGGAATCTGTCAGAAACAATGTCATCAGAGTGTCATCAGAGTATGTGGCGGTGCCAAGCAGGCGTCCCCGTCAAACTACTGCCATGACATTAGTGAAGACCTCAGTTGCTGCTGGAAATCTGGGTCACTACTCATCCAGTGATGCATATGTAATGTCAAATGAGACTTTAACTTTTTACAGGACTTGTGTGACTTTTAAGCTGCTAAAACTGTCTGCACTTGTCTTATCTTCCCTTACTGTATCTGCAGTTGGAGGACTGTATGTATTGCTTCTACATCCAATATTTCTCAGAAAAAAAGATCAAAAATTTTAAAAAAGCAAGAAAAATAAACATAACTGTGTGCAACAGTTTTACCGTCTCATAGCTTTAATTATCTTGTGACTCATCATCTTTTATCTTGAAACCTCCTGGCAGGTCCTGACCTGCTGGTTTGGGAGCAGAGATCCCAACCACTTCTATGTTTTATAAAAGATTTATATTTTGAAAAAAAACGCTTTTTAAAATTCTATTGTTGATGTCTTGTTGCTCATGTGTTTTCATTTGTCTCATTTTTGCTTTTGATTTATGCCGTCAGTGATGAAGCCAAAGAGTTATTTTCCGCATCGTGGAATATAAATTTCCCAACTTACTGTCTAAGTGTCTATCTCATTTTGTCTCTATAAAAAAAGTCATTCAAAAAGTCCACAGCTGCTTCAAATACTGAGGTACACCTTGGAAACAGCAGCTGAGAAAACAGTCTCACCACTAGGAGCATTTAGAAATTTCTCTGGAGCTTTTACATAATCTTCATCAGCAGATGGACTTTACCCAGTTACCATGGATTCAATTTTTTTCCCAGCATTTTAAAGACTTCTCATCCATGTTGTCTTAAAATCCCAATAGTCCCTTTTGGTAAATATAAAAGAAGTCTGATGATTATTTTCTTAAAATTTGATTTAATTTTACCGGTGAAATCTAAAACAATGGGGTTTGTGTCCCCACACAGTTTCAGACTGCAGGAAACACTTCACAACAGGAATTAGTAGGTTCCCTGATGCAGAGTTACTGTCCTCTTCAGTCTACAGCTTTCACATTTTTGCACTGCTGAAAAACTGGCTTCACCGATATTCAGAGTTTGTGGTAAAACTGTTTTGTTGACTGTTGTCTCCAATTAAATTACGATCCCAATTTTTAGATCATAATCTTTAGTCTCACAAAATGTCACATAATTTTTATCTCCTGGTGAATATTAACTATGAACTCTGTGGTGATCGCTTTCTCAATAAACTACATTTATTTGAAAGGTTCTCATCCTGAGCTGAACTTGTAAAAACAAAATCATAAAAATGAAAAAGTGCAGAGGGTGAGCAAAATACAGAAAACAGATTTCTTCGTTGAGACTGTTCTTGGAGATGTTGTTTTATTTAGACTATACTATGTTGACAGATGTTTCTCTTATTTTGTCCACTCAGTGTAAAGGGCCCTTAGCAATGAGTTTGGTTTTTAGATTAAAGTAGATCATCATCATGGTGACTTCCTGCCAAAACTCACCAGTTGCAGACAAACTTTACCAGATTTGGTTAGACGTCTGGTGCTAATCTACATACACACACACACACACACACCGAGAGAGAGAGATAGTGACTCACGTGTGATCTGGCCGGTGATGGGTAGACTCTCCTCTGATCCGGCGTATGCAGATATCGTTACAGAATAATCCACATTCGGAGTCAGGTCTGAGATGGAGGTCTTAGTTGCAGATGCAGGAAGAGTAAATTCTTTTGTTGGTTCATCTACAAGAATGCACAAAGTCAGAGGGAAGCCATTAGGAAACTATTGCATTACTTCATTTCTCCAAGAGTCAAAACAGGGCTTCAAAACGAACCTGATTCTTACTATTGACCTGAGGACTGGAAGAGCCGTGTAAACACACAACAATGTGATTCAATTTAATGAAAACTTTCCGCATTAGTATGAATCAAAACACATTATTCGAACTCTTAAATACTCTTAAATTTTCCATTAAGACTATAATTAAAATGCTTCAGCTTCAAATAGTCATGAAATCTTTATTAGATTTCCGATGCCTGTTGTGTGAGTTTACAGGATTATTTATGTGAAAAGACCCATTTAATGTTTACAAAGCCCATTAAATAACACCTTGTGCCTTCACTTGTACTCAATGTGACAGTTAAAAATACTTTCTTTCTCATTTTAAAGTAACTTTAATTAATTTAATTGACAGACAGAGAATTACGTTGTGGTTTATAGGCAAAGACTTGTCTTTTAAAAAAAACCCTAGAGTGACAAATAAACGGTTAAATAAAGGGATTGAGGTAGTTTTGTTGGCAGATTCTTGTCTACCAAAAGTTTTCATTGTGTTTTTAAATAAGTGCTTAAACGTTAAAGGAATACTTTTCTTTTCAGGAATTAGACAGGAAAATCAATATAAATCTGTTTGTGCTTTAGGTATTAAGATGGAATCAGGATGTGGTTAGCTTAGCATAAAGTTTAGCATAAAGACTGGAAGTAGATGGAAGCAGCTAAAGTCCAAAGTTCAGACTTATTTTACTCTTCAGTCTAAAAAGGTCAATTACTAGCAAGCTAATGTTAGTTTTGTCAGCTGGCTAGTTCAGTTAGCCTAAACTGTACAGCAATTACACCTGGCAGTTTCAAAATTAAAATTTGGAAAACAAATTTGTTCTGTCAGTTAGTTAGTTGGTTTAGCTAAGAGTACCTAACTGTTACACTTTGCCATTAATGAATGTAAATATGCAAGCTAAGGTTAGTTAGGTCAATTAACTAGTTGTTATCTAACAGTATGTAACAATTGATTGCAGTTGTTGACTTAAAATGTGTAAGTTAATTTTAATTCTGTTGTTTGGCAAGTCCAGTTGACTCACTGTAAGTAGCAGTTACTAGTAGCAGTTAGAAACATGTAAATATGCAAGGCACCTTAGTTATCTCAGTTAGCTAGTTTGTTTACAAGCTAGTTTACAACTAGCAGCTACTACATTTACATTTGTAAGCTAATATTAATCAATGTTAATTCAGTTAACTAATAATACATAACAGTTACACCTAGCAGTTACTGAATGAAAATATGCAAGCAAACGTTAGTTCTGTCACTTAACTAGTTTAGATAACTAACTGTACGCAGCTGTTACACCTGGCAGTTAATGAATGAAAATATGCATGCTAATGTTAGTTCTTTTAGCTAGCTAGTACCGTGAGCTAACTGTACGTAAGTTACACCTCACAGTTAACGAATGTAAATATGCATGCTAACTTTACCTAGCAGTTACTGACTGACAATATGCAAGCAAACGTTTGTTCTGTTGCTTAACTAGTTCAGATAACTAACTGTACGCAACCGTTACACCTGGTAGTTAATGAATATAAACATGCAAGCTAACTTAAGTTCTGTCGGTGAGCTAGCTAGCAATTAGTACAGCTACGTAATTGTTACACCTAGCGGTTACTGACTGAAAACATACAAGTAAACGTTAGTTCTGTCGCTTAACTAGCTCGGATAACTAACTGTACGCAACCGTTACACCCGGCAGTTAATGAGTGCAAGCTACTGTTAGTTATTTTAGTTAGCCAGTTCGGTGAACTAACTGTACGTAACTATTACACCTCACAGTTACTGAATGTGAACATGCAAGCTAACGTCAGTTCTGCAAGTTAGCTAGTTTGGTGAATTACCTGTACGTAACAGTTACGCCTCACAGTTACTGAACGTATAGAAGCTAATATGAATTATCATTATTATGCAATCTAACGTAAGTTCTGCCACTTAACTGGTTCAGATAACTAACTGTACACAACCGTTACACCTGGCAGTTAATGAATGCAACTATGCAAGCTAATGTTAGTTCTGTTACTTAACAACATAAATGTTACTGAATGTAAATATGAAAGCTAACTTAAATTCTGTCAATGAGCCAGTTCATTTTGTTAAGAGTGCTTACCCGTCATTATTATTTATATTATTAAATGTAACTGTAAGCTAATATTAGTTCTGTCAGGTAGCTAGTTAGTAATTAGTTCCGTTATGTAGCAGTTACATAAAGCAGTTACTGTGTGAATATTTATTAGCACCTAAGCTCTACAACTCTGTGGTGCATAGATGAAGACTTAGTTAAGTTGGCAGCACACTATTGTCTAAAATATTGTGCTGTAGCATTTAGATTTCTCTTCAATGGAATTAAGTGCAAACCCTGGATGTTTAAGTTATTTTGAGTGAAATGTGGAGGCAGCTGATGTGACATCTTTTCCAAAACCATCTCAGCTGTTAAATTAATGTTCCATTGGCTGTTGAATGGCAGCACAGCCGGCTGCCAATTACTGTTATCCATACATAATGTTTTTTTCTTTCTTCCCCGTCAGTTTTTATCATTAGAGCTGCCAGGGCCAAACGTGTGTCTGCACAAATCTTCAGATAATTGCGGGGAGTGTCTTGTCTTGCCAGGCACAGCGATGTGTTAGAGAGTTTACAACACCTGTAATGTTATGGGCTCGGCAGGACAGAACTCGCAGGTTTAATGAGCACCCACCTGTGTCTGAGGTCACTTGTATTCTGTAGCCCTGTATCCTTGACTGTGGTCTGCTCCAGATCATTTGCACTGTGTTCTCATTTAAAATCTTAAACCTCAAATCTGATGGAGGGTTGACTGTGAAGAGAAAGCATCAACACAGTTAATCCCGCAGCTTTAGCACGTGAATGTATTGTAATGTTGAATATGACAGGATTTTCCCAACAGTCAACACTTCCAGGGTGAAGTAAGACAAGTTCACTGTTGGAGCAAACAACACGAGACAATCCCAAACTACAGATGTGAGGGAAGCCATTTTGGAGGAAAAAAAAATGACTTTTGTTTGAGCTTGTTTGGCCAGTGGCCACAGTCAACAACTCAAGCAACAACACAGTGAGACAACAAACACAACAAAACAACAACACACTCCCTAAGTTTAGAACATTTAAGAAATAAAACAAACAAGGCGGGAAGATCGAAACATGAATTTTGGCTGTGACCAGGGCTGTGGAAGGTTAAAACAGGCCGATTTGAAATCAATGAGCAACTAATACCTAATTGTGATTGGTATTTAGTTGTAATCACTAGTGAATACCTTCTGTCTATACTCCAGGTCAGACAGGGAACTCAGGTGTCTTTTATAAAAAAGTATTTTATAAAAATGAAATTCATTTTTTCAAGTCAAGTCAAAAAATCAAATTGCTGAAATTGGATAAGTGAATTTAAGACCGAATTTCAACATGGAAATTTCAAAATTGAACATCTGGACAATCGGGGGAGAATGAAATTTTGGAAAATCACCAGCCACTTTAAAAAAAATAAATAAATAAATAAAAGTTTCCCAACCTGGCAACAAACTACAACATGGACCGGCTGACATCCAGTAGACTGTCCATGACCTCAATCCAACTCATGATGTTGAATTGACAAACAACAAAAAAAACACACAGATGTGATAAAACTCTCCGGTATTGATTATACAATGGATAAAGAGCTGATTGATCGCTGTCATCGTCTCCATTGCAAACCTCATAAAAGAATACACAATGTCGGTTAAGACATGTGTACGTCTTTTTCCTGCTTACACTACCCAAAAATTTGCACCAGGGGTTTTTAAATTATCTGAGCTCCTGATAGGACTTTTAGATTTAATCACTTAAATCTTCCGTTACTTTTGTCAAACATCCAGTGAAAAGTCTGGGAATCCTTTCAGGATCTGGACTATAATTTAAGAACCACTGGCTCTGGTGTTGGTTAACCAACAAACAGGGTAAAAGTGCGCACAGATTAAAGTTTCGAATCTTCATCACTGACATGGAGGATCATGCACGTGTACATGAAAAGTTGTTTTTAACAACTTGGAGCAACGGACAAAAAGTTTCCATGTACACAAGGGACCAGAGATTGTTCCTAAAAAAAAATATTTTAAAATGATATTCTTCAGGTTGGGGTGGAAAACTCCAAATATAACGCAGCCTACCTGAAAATCTAGCTTGCTATGATGCACCATTATTTAAATCTGCTTTACTGGCTAGACTCACTAAAATTAGACATGCTAATCTTGTTAAGAGCTTTAAATATAATATAATAATAATAAGTCAAAGTCCTGTAATTAAACAAGTTAAAACAGCTAATGCAGATTCAGTTCACAACTCATGATGACAATGTTTTTACTCGAAAGTAGGGGTGAGTAATACCAAGCAATAACACGGGCTGAATCACTGATTCTGACACTTTCTATTAAAAGACGTTAGTGTATTATTAACCTGTCACCCACACATTATGATGATTGATTTATGGGGTGAATGGGCTTCATTAATAGACTCCTTCACAGGTTTATAATGGCAGATCTTAAACCAAATACTGCTTGTTTCCTAAACTGAAATCTAAGCTCTTCATGTCACAAACAGGTGGAAACCGTGCGTCTAATTCTTAATCTTTTCATGCTGGAGGAACGTTATCATCACGTCTGCAGCGGGTAATCTGAGCTCCGGAGTTTGAGCTCATTTTATTAAATTTTGCAGCTGCACAGATTCTCGTGAAGTTCTACAGAAACACACAAATTAGGGTCAAATTACTAAGAGAAACAAAAAAACAAACACATCATACCACAGATAATCTAGCTAGAGTTTAAAGATGACTTTTTTTTTTCTAGACCACCAACCAGTTCATCTGTTAGTGTGCCAGTGAAGAATATCACAGTAAAATATTGTCGTGAAGCCAAGACTCGGGGTCAAGGCTTGACTGGGAGGTGTGACAGGACGTCAAAAACTGAGGAACCACCAACCTGGTGAATCAATTCAAGGGCCGCGGGCTCCTGCTTCTGTTTCCAAACGGGTCTATTATAACCAAAACTACCCAAAAACTCTCATCCAGAGGAACACACACACACACACACACACACACACACAAACACACACACTCACTCACACACCATCCTCACTCACATCCAGGCTTTGGAGCTTTTCGTTGAGGTTTTCCTCTCTGCTCTAAAGCGCTTTTAATTTGTAATTTTTCACCTCAGATGTGACAGTTTAGAGCAGAGGGCTTCCTCATCCCAGCTTTTTTATCTTCAACGTGCTTCAGCCTTTAACTCGGGCCCCAACACGTCAAACCATTCCACACGGTAGAATATATACGACGCCGTTACGATGCTGTGACCCCTGGAAAGGCAGCGGGGGCCCCTGGCGGGACATTAAAGCGGGGGTCACAGGAGGTCAGAAACTCTCCTGGAAGTAGAGGAGTGGAGGCTTCTCCTCCTGTGATCCAATGAGTTTTTACTGCACTTTTCTTTTTTTTTTTCTTTTACTTTAAGCTGAGAGAAAATCCAGAGGCGCAGACTCTCTCCTGCCCTAACCTCTCAAACCTCTGGAAAATAATGTGAAACTCATATTTTGTCTTTCCGTTCCATCAGGAGAAAAGACGTAGGGAGGAAACTTGGCCACGTGCCGTCTGGGTTTTTTTTTCTTTTTCGTTTTTTCTTCTTTTTTTTTTTTTGAAACTGGAGAAATGTATGCTACAGGAACAGATAGGAGAATTTGAGCAAGGGCCCCTCCTGGTGTAAAAGAGATCAAACTACATGTCTGGGATGAAAAGATGCCCTACTTGACCTACAGAGGAACATTTATTACTACTTCTACAGGCTGACATGGGATCACACTGGGGCTAAAACACATGCTTTTATTACATTTTTACTGTAAATGATCATTTTTAAGAACCTTCACTGTCTGTAAATTCTAATGGAGTAAATCCAGGCGGCCTGAAGTCGGAAAAAAGATGGAAAAAATTCACCTTTTCTACCAATATTGCTGGTTTTTCTTCATACAGGCGACTTCCTCGCTAACTGGACGCCATGTTTCATTGTACTTTTATGTCTCAGCTACATCACTGCTGTGAGCAAGTTGCATTCATGTCTTAAACCACTTAAAAGAATGCTACTGGTCTGGACAAAAAGCTCCTATTCATAAATTCAAACCAGATATCTGCAGCCGAGACAGTTTTTCTCCTCAAGAGGAAATCTGGCGAATTCCTGATGGAAACTGGAATTATTGGAGTGAAAACACAGATAATCAATCAAAGATTAAACCGAGGCTGAAAAAGACAAATCAGGTCAAACAAATCAATTCACCAACACACACATTTTCTTTCACTATGTGATTTTTTTTTATTCAGACTAAATATGCAGCTACACATTGCAGGCAGAGAAAAGACAGAGGTGAGAGGAGTTGAAGTGAGATGAGTTGGATCATAGTGAGAGGAGGAGGAGGAGGAGGAGGAGGCTTTACCTGGTTTCTGGGCCTGAGCGGAGGACAGCAGCAGTGCCAGGAGGGCAGCCGCCGCCAGAGACAGCCTGCACTTCATCTTCAGCTCCTCAGCTCAGCAGCACATGAATGAAGCTGCGACAGGAACGAAGGAGGCGGTTAGACCTTCACCATCAGCCCGCCACAAGCCCCGAGACTGTGAAGCTCACGGCTCCTTCACCCGCTACATGCAAATCTATTGTTAGTTATCTGCTTAAAGGCCACATGTAAACTGCTGTGAAGGCAGCCGGGAAAAATAATACATGAAAAGCTCTATATGTGTGAATGGATAAAGTCCAAAGCTCAAAAACTGAACAGCTTTTAACAATCAATAAACCAGAGTAAACTTCAGAACTCTAATGAGAGCTTATCAAGTGCATTTACTCTGCAAAGGGTCCAATCCACTAACTACTGCTTCGGCTGATGAGAGTCACCCAGACTAGCAGAGACAGCGTCTTTCCACAGATCAGAATAACCGAGCATCGACTCCTGGCGCCGTGCGTAATTACGCACCGCAAAGCAAGAAATAGTAGAAAAAGTCCACGCGGTTCTGGAAATATTCCGAATAAAATGTGCTTGTAATGTGCTTGATATTAGAGATAGTTAAGTCTAGAAAACCTTGTCTTCTAATGAATTAAATCAGCTATCATGATATCGCCTGGAGCTCAAATAATTCACCTGAAACTGCAAAACTCAAAAACCATGCATCACTGACCTAGAGAGGAGACTGTAGGAATTCTTTGCTTTGGTTTTTAAAAAAAAAATAAAATAAAAAAGGTTAAATCTCTGTTGTAGACCCCAGCCTGAGGAGAGGGAGAGTGAGGTGGTCCGGTGTTGAAGTCAGAGCGCTCAGCGGGTTTTTGGTTCCCAGACGCGTCGCGAGCCTCTTTCCAAGTGGGAAGACTCTCCACACAATCTGCTACTTAACAGGGGGGCTGCTCCCAGCTCTGCCTGCCCCGCCGCGAGCTCTTACGACATCCAGTCGGGCCAAAAAATGATGTGTAACCTCTCTGAAAGTGCTGGGACACACACACACACACACAGAGAGAGAGAGAGAGAGAGAGAGAGAGAGAGAAGACACACACACACGCACGAACACACACACTCGGAAACTTTTACATAGTTTTCTGCATTCCTTTCCGGTGATGGAGGGCTTCTGTGCGTCTCGGCCGCAAAGAGAGAGAGAGCTGTGCAGATCTGCTTTTCGGGAAGAGGGGGATCAGAGGAGGGAAACTGTCAGAGGTTTTTACCCCCTTTTTCATTTCGTGAATCAATGGGAAAATATTACGCAGTCCTGTAAAGTAAACCCCAACTCAGTCTTTTCCTTTTTAACGCATCGCTCCAGTGTCAGGGACGGAGCCCAGGGTCCTCAGCAGGATTTCATCAAAGTGACTGAGCTGTTAGTTATACAGTTAATTACTACAGAAACTGAACATGACTATAGTGAGGATACGTGACATTTTATCAAGCATTCCTAAATCCTACAATTTGGTCAAGAATCCGCAAAATGTATTTGGTCACCGTGTCTCTGAACTCAAAGAGCATTTATTTTCCTTATTCTAAAAGGTTTTTTTCAGTCTTCAATCTGCCAAGTATTACAACAGCAAATCTCAAAGTTCAGTGTGATGCCCCCAAAATCTCATAACCCCAGAGTTGGTACACTGTGAGGTTACACCATCATTTCACAAACACACAATTTGTGTCAACGCCCTCAGTTGTGTCAAAGCAACCCCCAAAATTGTTTAGTTGTCTTTATGGTGATGTCATGAGCTAAAGTTTGTCAAAGCTCATTTAAAACGCCCCCAAAATAAATCATCATCACTAATTTGCACTGGCTCTGTCAGAGTTTGTGTGTTGCCTCCAATATTTACTAGAATCAGTTTGTGAGTTAGTGTCTCCAAATTTGTCAAATGAACCAACACACAGTGTTTCAGATTCTCACACCATCATCATCATCATCATCATCATCATCATCATCAGCAGCAGCAGCAGCAGCAGCAGCAGCAGCAGCAGCAGCAGTGTGTTATCTTACACAGCAGATTCCTCAGTGCGGATCAGTGAGGGAGAAGCTGCAGCTCAGCTGGTGACTTTAAGTGTTAAATGATGTGTGGTGGGTGGGGACTGATAGCAGAGCAGGCCCGAGGCCGTCTCCTCTTGCACTCTGCTTAAATTAAAACAGACAGCAGAGAAGAACCCACCCAACACTCACAGCAGAGATGAACATGAGGAATCTGCCAAATGATAAATTCAGATTCTTTAAGGTTTTTTTGTTGTGATTTCTGAGAGTCTCTGCAGCAGCAGCAGCAGCAGCAGCAGCAGCAGCAGCAGCAGAGTTAACGACAGGATGTAATTATTTAGTTTCAGACACACTGTTGTTTTAAAGGATTAATGCTCCAACACTGATTTTGTTGAAATCGCTGAGACGGTGGAAGAGTCTCAGTGATTTCTTTGTAAATGTCGCCCTCTAGTGACGGACACCTGAACACTCACACAGGGAAACGTTCAGTTTTAATAATTAACGAGCAGTTTTATACTTTTCTACATGAAATGTTTGTTAATGTTAAACAGTGAGGAACTCTGTCAACGGGCTTTCTGCAGTTTCACCAAGTTCAACTCCCTAAAACGACTAAATGTAATTTAAAACCCGTTTCATGGACGACAAGCAAGAGATGGTATGACCTGCCATCAGTTACCACGTGCACATCTATAACCACATTTTCTGTCACTGCGTCCCAACCGTGTAACAATAATTATTTACAATATTATAAATGAATCACTGAACACAATATAAATCATGATGAGCAGCAGGAATGGATGGATCAACAAACTCAGTAGAATTTTTTCTAACACCAGAGATCTGGGACAGAGGAATAAAGAGAAGTACCAGATTGGTTGTTTTTCTTTTGAAGGATCTGAAATCAATACTTTCAGACCTGCAGATGCCCTGTCTGGAGATTAATGTCCAACATTCATTCAAGTTTTAATGTTCATTTTAAGTCTTCTCATGTGGTGCTTGTGGTTTCTTTGTTGTGAAGCACTTTGATGCATTTCTTGTTTGACAGGTGCAATATAAAGTTTATTATTATTATTAGTCACTTTCAGGTTGTTGTGATTCAAAATCTGTTTAGTGCAGTTGTTTTTATTAAGTTTCTTGTATGACAAAGAAATTTAAGGGAGTTTGGTTGATGTTGCTGTTCAGCGTTTGTTCATATTGAGGTTTTTCTATCATTTGTATTTGCAGTCAACTTTTCAGTGGCACCACCTTCTGCTGAAGAAACGGTCCCATTGAAAAGTGGAGTTCTGGATTATTGAGCAGAAGCAGAACTTGTTTCTAAAACATTTGAGCACAGTCGGTTTGTGTCGTGCAGGATTTGAGGCTTGTTTTAAAAACTTCCCTCGTTCTCAGACCACAGACACATTTTACAGTTTGACACTGAACATTGTATTTGACCGGATTTCACCAGCATTTGAGACACAATTATATATAACGTATTAATGGCTCAGACAGACACGCAGGTTTGAGTCATGAGATTTTTTATTTGATCCTCAAGTCATCAGGGAGAGTACAAGAAATAAATATTGATCCCATGAACATGAAACAAAATCCCACCACGACGGAAACACACACGGCCCGACACAGATGGACAGCTGGCCGGTTTTTAAAACGCAGGTAAACGGCTGAAGCAGTGGAGTTAATTCTTCTTAGGGTACGCTGCGTTCCACAGCTCGTACAGGACGTATCCGGTTCCTGAAAGAACACCAGGCTGGTCACTGACACATGACGGCACACAGTCACATTTAGAGACAGTTTGATTAAAACAGCTTCTGTTTTACAGCAAATGACAAACACTAACTCAATTATAATTATTAGTTTTCCCATTTTTCTATTCCATCATTTTCATTTTTTAATATCAATTAATTTGCCAATTTGAGAAAATGATTTGGACCCATCACAGCTTCCCAGAGCCCGAGGTCGATCTTCAAACTACTGCAAAAACAAAAAGATATTTACTTTACAATAACAGAAAAGCAGCGGGTGAAAACCTTTGCAAGTTCTGCTCGGAAAAAAGGAATTAAATAATGAACTGATTAGAAGTCCAAATCTAAAAACTTCATGCTACACTGCAGAACTTGTACAGATTATTTTAATGTAAGATAATGGCGTCAAGAACTTTATAATTTGTGCTCTTGAATTGTAGTACGTTATAGTAAACTGCCTCAGCATTCAGCGTGGTGCCATCAGTCTGCCAGGAGTTTGAAGAAGATATTTATGAAGTTTTAATGAAGTGGACGACATCCACAGTATCACTGAAGTTTTACAGCGTCAGTGATCCTGTAGATGACATTTCAGGCCACACGTTGTGTTTAAACAGCCAAAACCTGAAGTGTCAAAGTCCGAGATCTAAATAAAACTGTACTAAACCAAAGCAATGCACGGTGAGAGCGTGAAGGGACACACAAGACAAACTGTCGGCATGAAGGTGATTAGTTTTGCAAAGTCCAGCTCATGAATCAATAAATCACATGCACAGAGTTGTTATTTTCTCTCTCCATGACACCTCCCGTCTCCCTGGGCCGGCGACGCTGCGGCACTACAAACTACTTCAGTGTGCGACCACGACCGGTAACAGAAACAACTGCTGTACACAGAAGCTGTATCTAACGTGGAATCTATCGCATTATAGCCAATACCTGATTAGCTGATTAAAGTCAGTGCTGGCACTTAGCACATTAGTTCTGCATTAGACACATCAGGTGCTTGCCTGTCATCTTTGTCAAGAGATGATGTTGATCCTGGTGTCAGTTAAAGAGCAGATAGAAGCTAGACTTTTCCTGCATCCTCCGACAGCTCACAGCAGTGATCCAGTGAAAATAAAATGGCATTCAGTGTTTTTATCAGGAGAGTAAACAGCATGAAAACTGTTCCTGTTTCAATACAAATACTCCTTCTGACCTGAGTCCAGTTTTCAGATGAAGAGCTCACCTACGTTTTTTTTACTTTTGTTTTAAAATGTTAAAAAAAAATATTACTTAACAATCCTGAAAGAAGAGATGAGAAGTTTAAATCGGATAAAAAGAAGAAAGACTCTCTCACCGAAGACAGTCAGTGTCATCGTCGCTCTGTAGAGCAGAGCGTCTGCTGGGCCTCCTTTTAAATGAACCGGCAGCCCGTTGTCCTCCTGCAGAGAGAAACATGAGGAAACTGAGAACAGCAGCAGACGGCAGCTTGGCACGGTCAGTCACTTTGATGCAACTGGAAAAACTGTCGGTGACCGACTCCAATCTCTCATTTATAAATGTTTTCACTTTGACCAGATTCTCTTTCTCAATCTTTTACTTGGCCTCGTCCGAGGGAAAAAGTCATGAGGCGCGTCGGCTTCTGGCCGTTCGAGATTCTCGGTTTGTGTTGTTATTATTATTCATTATTTTTTTGAGGATCGTTCAAGACAACTCTGATTTTTAGGGGGTTATAAGCAGCAACGTTTCTCACGAGTCTTGCCGAGGTCAAGCAGCGGCTGCAGTGTTCGGTTTCTCAAGTTTGAGCCTCAAAAATGTGGGATGTAATTGGTTTGGTCAATCCCACACAGTGTGGAGAGGCAGAGGGAATATTACCGTGCACTTTCATACACATAAAGCAAACGGATTTATCTGTGGATCTTATTTTGATCATAGTGGCACTTTACATCACTTTATCCAGCAGCAGGTCACATCTGTAAAACCGTTTTATGATCTCACAGATCTAATGTGACTGAAACCAACATTT